TCAACATCAAGCACTGGAAGAAGGGCAACGACAAGGAGGCAGTCGCCTATCTCGGTGAGGAGTGGTGGCGCCACCCCGATCACATCGAGATCAGCATGCACGAGTACATCGGCAAGCTGACGAAGCACCCCCTTGCAAGGGGTGACAACGAGGAGCGGGAGATGACTCCCGAGGAGCACCACGACTACCGGAGCTTGCTCCAGAAGGTGCGGTGGCCTGTCGCACGCGTGGTGCCACAACTCGCGTATAGTGTCTCGGCGCTCGCACAGAAGGATCCGAAAGGTCGGAGGTTGCTGCGCCTGCGAGTGCTCAATGACATCATCGACCGGCTTCAGGACTACGACAAGAGAGGTCTTGCGACTCTCCGGTTCCGCCGTGTGGACATCGAGCGCTTGCAGGTGCTCACGCTTATGGACGCTTCGTTTGCGAAGGAACCCGGCTGTAAGAGCCAGATGGGGTTCATGAGTATGATTACGGACACCCGAGTTTTGAAGGAGCTAACCGTATGCTGTCTAGTGGAGTTTCAGAGCAGTACTATTACACGAGTTGTTGGATCTACGATGGCCGCAGAATCTGCGGCTATGTCCGTGGCCTTGGATCGGCAGCTTTACCTCAGGCTGCTGATTGAGGCAATCTTGTACGGGGAGCCGCCCTTGCAAGGGGACTGGAGGCTGGCGCTGAAGGTTCCAGGGGCGCTCGTGACGGATGCGAAGTCGCTCTACGATCACACGTCCAAGATCGGGTCGATGCCGGTGTCTCGGCAGACCCCCAATGACTTGCTGGTGGCCAAGGATTTGATAGAGCAGGAGGCCATCAAGTTCAAGTGGCTGCCTAATAGCCACATGCTAGCGGATGTGTGGACAAAAGCCGTGCAGCCTAACGAGGTACTATCGCAGTTCCTCCGCCACGGCCTGTTCAGCATGGTGCCTACTGCTGAGCAAGAGGATGAGGAGGCACACCGTCTGCGGCTGCGCCGCGGACAGCGTGAGCGAGCCAAGGAGCGGAAGGCCCAGCGTCGGGTCGCCGTTCCAGGGCCTGCGAGCCCGTGAGGTCCTGATTGCAGCTGCTGATGGACCTAGTGAGGGCTACGGTGATGTACGCATATCTTTTGAGTTGATCGTCTGGAGTAGTGTATCCAGATATTCATATTCTTGTATTTATATTTTGAGCCTCAGGCCGCACCTTGCTTGAGGTGTCTCATGCATATCTTTTGAGTTGACAGTCTGGATTGGTGAATCTAGACATTCATATTTATATTTCGAGCCTCAGGCCGCATCTGCTTGAGGTGTTTCGGCCCGTGGGCTGATATACATCATAATTGCGCGCAGCGTTGCCCTTTCAGAGGGAGCGGCATCGGGGCAGCATTGTACTCACCCAGTGTGAAGAGTGCACTCCCCTGCCCCTCTGCCGCCCGTGCCACCATGTGTGTATGTCGTACACGCTTGTCTTGTTTTGTGGCATGCACGCTGCCCGCCGCTGTTTTGGCCCTAGTCCTAGGGCCCTGGGACGCACCCGCAGTTGGACTGCCGCGCGGTCTTTGCTGAAAACAACTGCACTGACAGGGGCGTCTTGGGGCCGAAGGCTCGAACAGGTGCCCTCTGGATTCCATCTTGGAGCCGTCTGGGGGCCCTCTTAGGTTGTCTTGGGGGCTTCGTGGGCTGTTTTTGGACCCTCTTCGACCCCTCTTGTGGGCCCTTCGGTCGTCCGGGGGCGATACTGAAGGGTTCTTGCCCATCTTAAGCCGAAAAAGGCGAGTATGCGAATTCCTGGATTTTTTTTAGGGAATAGGACGATCTTTGTTTCTTGGGACCCTCTTTGGACGCATCTTGGGGGCCTTTGGGGGCGCCTTGGCAGCTTCGGAGGCCGTCTGGAAGCCATCGTGGGCGTCAAGGAGCGATATTTCGGCGACTCGTGGCCCTCTGGGACCGTCTTGGGAGCGTTGTGGTGCCTTCTTGGCCCGTTTGGCAGCCCTCCGCTCCTCCATGACGCGTTCGGTCCGGGGTCGCGCTGGGCCAGGGGGGGGGGTGTCGAATTGCCAGTGTGGGGTCCCTGGGGGGGATTATGGAGGGGTCATCTCACATGCCTAGAGACCCACAAGGGGTCGGCGGATTAGCATGTTCACCAGCTCGTTGCTGCAGTCTGGCGCGTATGGAAGAATCTTACAGGACCGTTTACAAGATGAACCTCGATACGTCTTTGGACCCCCCCAATTAGGGGGTAATTACCTATTCTTCGGTGGCTTCATTGAAGGACTGGGGTCCCACCCATAGAGATCAACCAATCATTTTGCCGCGGCACCGCCTCCTCCTCTTCCTCCTCTTCCTTCCCTCCTCCTCCTCCTCTTCTTCTTCCCCCTCCTCCTTAGAAATGGCACGAGGAAGAGCTGGGGGAGGATGAGGAGTGGGAGACGGAACAGCAGGAGGAGGCGGAGGAGGAGAAGGAGGAGGGGGAGGTCGGGGAGGAGGAAGAAGAGGTTTTAGGACCAGTCCTATTCACCGCCGAGTGAGAAGGGGGGGTCACATCTAAAGAACTCCTGAGGTTAGATCGCACATTGCAGTTCCACACGCTTTCAAGTGCGACTCCGCAGATTATGTGGACAATCATGTCGTACATCTTCGTCATGCAGTCAGACATAAAAACGGAAATCGTGTGTTCATTAAAGAGGGCAGCTTGAGCCCGGTTTCCGACATTAGTGGACACATAATGTTTGATTCGCCATACAAGCCCATATTCGACATCTCACCATCACATCACTTCATTACCTTTGTGGACATAGAAATCAATACTCCTATTACCGAGCGCCCTCACCGAGAACCAAAGTTGGATCTGGCAGCTCTCCAGGATCAGGGGGTCAAGCAAAAGTACATCTCTGGATTCATAGAAGAAAAGAACAACCGACAGCAATGCGAATCCATCCATGCGAATGCCAGGACGATCGCGTCGTGCATTGTGCAATCAGCCACAACACACATACTGGCTCTCGCCGAAACCCCGCACCAACCATGGATCACGCAGCGGACGTTGCAGTTTGTCGAGCAAAGGAACCTTTGTAGACAGCGCACTTTCGACAATGAAGAGGTCAGAAGACTGAACAAACAAATCCAAACATCAGCACCGGCGGGGCGGAAGAAATGGCTGAACTATTCAATCGAACGCGATGGATGGGAAGCGATCCGGTCTGTGAGGAAAGGCCAGTCTACGCAGCATGGGCGGCTTCGAAACCTCCGGGTGGATCTCGTGGACGCCGAGTTCAAGGCAGAAGCCATGACCGACTACTTCGATAAAGAACATTGAAAACAGTTCAAGATTCTGGAGAGTTTCCTAACATGCAGCAGGAAGATGGTTTTTCAATGTCCATACACAAGACATCACAGTAGAATAATTACGTCGCGCGGTCAAGTCTTTCAAAAGGAAGAAGGCAGCTGGTAACGACGGCGTGCCGCCGGATTTGTGGCAAGCTCTATTGCACAGTGATGTTGTTATTGGGAGTCTTTTGGATCTATGCAGTATCTGTTGGCAACAGGAAGACATCCCCGAGGAATGACGGGAGGCGTCTATCGTTTCTATGTTTAAAAAGAAATGTGACACTTCACAGCCTAGCAACTCCAGAACAATTTCGCTTCTGGATGTTGGAAACAAAGTAATTGCAAGTATTATTGTGCAGATGTGAAAACTTGGTGGGGCGGAGAAACATTTAAGGAAGTCTCAGTATGGATTCCGCCATGGACGAGGCACGACTGACGCTCTGTTCTTGGCGCGCTGGGTTCATCGACGCATGCTTGGAAGATAAAAAGGGAGCTCGTTGCTATTACCACTCGGCGGGAGTAAATCGTTCGACAGAATCAGACCAGAAGGCTTGATGTTTGCTCTCCGCCACTGCCGCGTGTCCCTGGCCATGGTCGACATGGTGCAGGTGATCTACCGGGCCAGAAAGTTCATTGCCAACGATGGGAATACAGCCGCCACCGCTAGAGTCCAGGCTGTGGGTATAGCGCAAGGATGCCCATTATCACCAAAGGAATACATCATCGTCATGTCGCCGCTTCTGGGGGCGGTGGACATACAGCTGGAGAGGTCTGCTTACGACAGTGGTTCAACCAAGCATGTGTTTACAAAAGATGTGTTATATGCCGACGACACGATGCTTGTAGCCACAGCCACGGCAGCTCTCCAACTTCATCTGGATGCTTTTATTCAAGGTGGGAAAACATTTGGTATCGAGCTCAACGCGTCGAAAACAATACGTTTAAGAATCCCCTCATAAGCACATGTTACAGGCCCAGATGGCAACCCGATCGCGCGCAACGTCCACGCAGTGAATTTTGGAGGATTGTTCAGCGGTGACGGGAACCCAACAACTGAGGTAACACAAAGGCTTGGGGAAGCAAGAGGGTCATCCGAATATATTTGTACATGATGGAATCACGCTAACATGAGCAAACATCATAAAACCAAAGTGTCGGACGTCTGTATATGTCCGAAGTTTTTTATGGGCTAGAAAATTGTATGTCACTGAAAGCAGGCAGGGACAGACCGGACAGTTTTCAAGCGAAACGCTTCCGACGTAGCCACAACGTTCCGCATGCGTATTGTTCACGAATAAACCATGCGACAATGAGATCAACAGCGAACGTCAAACCATTATCCGTACTTCGACGCCAACTGCAACTTTATGGAAAACTGGCAGCAGCCTGTCCAGACAGCCTTCCAAGGAGCATAGTGTTCGAGACGGGAATGGCAGACGACGCGCAGCCAAGAGATTGGGCCAGTGCTCGCGCCAGGGGGCAACCGCGCCTGCAATGGACAAAGTCTATGCGTGCGAGGGCTCTACAGGCAGCGGGAAGTGACCCGGATCGCTTGCTATCTGTGTAGCAGGGAGCCCCATTTGTGTGGCGCAAGGCCGTAGAAGAATACAGTCGATAGTTTCTCCCCATTATGCTCCTCCCCTCCCTCGTCCTGCTGCTCTTTGCCTCAAGCCGCTCCCCCTTCCTCGCGTACAGCTGCGGCTCTCCGTCGCGATGCTCCGGAACGAAGGGTCGGGCGTATGACCGCCGAGGCAATGCGTTTGCATGCATTCTTATTTGCATGTGTTCAGGTATGTCTTCAGCGTGCTATTTTATGTCGGTTCGCCGTCACGGCGCGGCTCTTGCCTGCCTGCCTGCCAGAAAAGCCCAGTCAAACGTTCACGATCGTCGCATTGCATGAAGAAAGTAACAAGTGCACCGTCATTCGCTTCATGTCAAGCCTCTGGAGGAACGCATGATTTCTGTTGACTCGTGCACCTCAAGTTTCTTCGGCCCTCCCGTTTCCTTCTGCTCTGCATGCGTGCTGACGCGTAGGCGTTGGCGCTTATCCGTATTAGTTTAGAGTGTTTGTTTTTCATCGTTGTCGTCTTTTATCCTCCTCCGCGATCTATCACTTTTGAGGCCGTGGGCGCCGAGTGGTCCAGGGCAGACGCCGGTCGAGCACGCTCTTCGATTACATAGGGATCAAAATTGCATCCCCGGCTCCGGCCCAACCGCCGTATGCTCGTAAGGTTCGCCACGTTTTTTCCTCGCTCAAACCCATCCGCCTTATCGTTCCCCTGTCCTCCTTCCCCTCCTCCTCATTATCCTCCTCCTCATCATCGTCATTATCAGCATCACCATCATTTGCATCATGATCCTCATCCTCCTACTTCTCATCCTTCCCCTTCTGTGTCCCCCGACCTGAACGGCCTCTCTTGTGGCAGCGCGCTCCTCCTCGATCCCCCCTCGCCGCTCCGCTCCGCTTCCCTCTTTATCGCTCCTGCACCCCCGATCCTCCTTTAGGGAGGCGAGCCAAACGGGGGGCGGCTGCGCGAACGTACGCCGCGGAGAGGGACGAAGAGAAGGAACGATGAGGATGGGAAAAATATCGAATGTGGAGGAGGAGGCGGAGACCCAGGAGGAGGACCGAAAGAGGAGGAGAAAAACAGGAATCCCAGGAGGAGGAGAAGGATGAGGAGGAGGAGGGGGAGGAGGAGGAGGAGGAGGAGGAGGAGGAGATGGTCGGTCGGACAGCGGAGAACCCCCCCCGTCGCGCGCCCAGATCCGCGGCGAGCCGACCGGCGGGGCGCCGCTGTGCCTCCGGAGAGAGGTCGAAGTGCCGCCGTTCGTGGTGTGCCTCGTGCTCGCGCGAGGGGGGGCGGAAAAGATGGCGCGGTGCGGCAGCGTAGCCTCGCAGTGGGGGCCCGATTGCTGGGGCGGGTGAAGGGAGGGGATGTCGTCGGGGCTCAATGGGGCGGGGATCAGGGGGTCAGCCAGATCATCGGACCCTGCAGAATCCTCCAGGGCCAGGCCTGCACTGACCCGGGCTTCCGCGCAGGACCTCCGCAGGATCGTGCAGGATCCTACGTGAGCGTGACTGGCCCGGGGGGGATTGTAATGACCCGGGTCAGTGCGTCCCCGAGGACGGGGGTGCGACGGAGGACAAAGGATGGCCCCCTTCGCGATCTGTCCCGCGAGCGGAAGTCGCCTCCCTCGAGCCTGGCGTGGACCACGCGGAAGGAGTTACGGCACCGCCATCGCGGACGGTTGCCGCCAGCCAGTGGAAGCACCAGGCCGCCGATCAGGAGGAAGAAGGGAGCAGGGAGAGACGGGAGGAGGGAGGACAGGAGGGAAGCGCGAGGGCGATGACGGTGAGAAACCTTTTGCTACGCCAGAGGGGCTGGGGTACACCAAACGACGAGACGCCACCCCGAGATTGGATATCAACGCCCTCAGCTCGACACGGCGCCTCGCCGATACAAGTTTCGCTACGTCCAGCAGGCTGGATCTCTCGTCAGTCTGGCCGCAGGCGCGCCACCTCGCTCACACGAGGGCCGCCGACGCGGTGGGCTTGACTCACTCCTCAAGACATCCGAATGCAGGCAGTTGGGTGCCGACGCCATCCTGAAAGCATAAGCCCGATCTCACGTCCACGTTGCCGCAATTCCAGAACGTTCTTCACGATGATTTGCACCTCATCGTTGTCGAGTGCATGGCGTCCGTCCTCCACCTCCTCAGTCCCCAGCGCCGCAGCCTCATCCGTAGCGGCGGGTTTAATCTGGTTTCGGCTCGGACACGTCCTCCTCTTCTCCCTTCTATCCTCCTCCTCTTCCTCCTCCTCCTCCTCCTCCTCCTCCTGTGCCCCCCTGAACTCGGAAGTTGACGTCAACGCTTGCCTCCGCATCGGCTATGTCCTGCACCGCCGCCTCGGGCGGCACCTTCGGTGGTCTCATCGAGGCCGTCATGCCCAGCGCGACCCCTTCGGGGCCTTCGCGTCGGCCACGTGTGCTGCCAGGTCAACCGTCACTGTCCGCGCGGTCTCCTGGGTCACGGCTTCGAGCATTTCCGCGGATTCCGCGGCAACGCTCACCTCGTGGTCGGAGGTCTCCATCTGCGTACCGCGGGCCGTCGCGGTGAACGTCGGCAGGACGTCCTGGTTCTTGCACGTTGTCAACGTGCGTCCGGAGCTTCCAGGCGAGAGAGCGGAGCTCCATGGATTCGTCCGCCAGCACCCACTCCTCGGCGCGACGATCGACGAAGTGGTCCTTCTTGTCGGCCGTGGGCCCCGCGCCCATGATGTCGAAATGTTGGACCTTCGCCAAGCCGACAGTCGTCTCGTAGGACATCATCGGCGGGTCTTCTTCGAGCTCCTCCGGCGAATCTTCGTGGAAGATCTCCCTGCGCAAACCCTCGTTATCGAGTTCCGCGCCCACGCCCGAGACGCCGTTTGAGGGCGCGCGCACGCGCCCCGCGCACCGCGCGCCGCGCGCACTTCTCCTCGGCGCCCGTCTTCGGGAGGGAAGGCGGGCCTTCCCTTGACGCTTCTCAGGAGGGCAAGAACACACAGACACGATTAACCAATGATGCCCAGGAAAATGCAAGAATATATGGGAAGTGGGGGGGAGACGAAAACCCAGAAAATATTCCCCAATCAGAGCTTGCCTCTGTAGGGGTCCTAGCGGATTAAAGGTTTAGGTGAGAGGTGCGGCCGAGTTCGGTGGCCAGGCCCGGGTGCCCGGGTACCCGGCGGTGCCCAGGTGCCCGGGTGGCCGGTGAGGTTGGTCGCCGATTTCGGTGGCCGGGCCCAGGTGCCCGGGGTGCCCAATAGCCCAATAGCATATTGCCCAATTGCCCCATAGCCCTATAGTTTTATAGCCCCATAGCCTTCTAGCCCGATAGCCCCATAGCCCCACAGCCCCATAGCCTTATAGCCCCCTATATATATATATATATATATATATATATATACAGCCTTATAGCCCTATATCCTTATAACCCAATAGCCCTATAGCCTCATAGACCTATAGCTTTATAGCCCTACAGCCCCATAGCCCCAACAAAAATATGATTGTTTTTTCTCCGATGTCATGAGAAACTATGGGGCGTCCCAGGATCTGCGTGTATTTATTCGTGTATCCCTGGCCCCATTCAGTATCGTGCATCGCGCCCCTCGGGAACGCATTGCGGGCGCCAGGGCGACGGGCTCGGGCGCCTCGCCAGCCTGCTGTGACCTCCTTGAGGAGGCGCGGCTGAGCTCAGCGCTGGCGCGCCCTGACCTCATCGATGCATGCGCCCTCCGCATCCGAGAGCCCGAGGACTCGCGCCACGACGCGAGCCGCCGCAGCAACCGCGTCCGCCGTGGCCTGACGACTATCGCGTCCGCCGCGGCCCGGCGATGACCTCTGCCAGCCGCCGCGCCGCAGGCCGCAGCGCGCAGAGGGGGCGCCGGCGCCTCCATGAGCGCGGGGCGCGGGGCCGCCGCCATCGCCCAGGCGGCAGTGCGCGGCCTGAGCCACGATGGCTACGGAGGTGATGACGGCGAGGAGGAAGAAGAGGACGTTGTCCGTAGCAAGTAGGGCTCAAGTCAGCAGCGCGTGGCTCTGGATTTGAGGACGTCGTGGCCGCAACAGCTCTCAGGGGGCTCGGCCTCCACATCTTCGCTGCTGCGCGGAGGTTTCAGCCCTCGCTGCCTTGGCGAGCTTCGTGCGTCTCATCCATGCGCAGATGTTGGCATTCTACTTTCTGCCGGTGCAGTTGTGGCTGGCGTGCCTCGCGCCGCACGCTCGGCGCCATCCCTGCGCCGGCCCAGCAGGGTGAAACTTCGGACCCCCCGTGGCCGGCGCAGCCGAGGACCGCCCGAGCTCGCCGCCCATCGCGGGCCCGCCTCTATTGCAGAGCAGGAGTGCGCAGAGTGCGCGGCTAGGGACCAGAGTGCCTTCGCCGCGATCAGAGCCAACTGGCGCCCAGAGCTCTCGGCCGCGTCAGGGCCGCTCGCGATGCTCTCGGGCCGGTCAGCTTCAGGCTGCAGGGGGGCGCCGCGCGCAGCGCCAGACGCCGCGCAGTTCCTTCCTCGGCGGTGCTAGAGCAAGCGCGACCGTGCCATGGCGGCCTTCGCCGAGGCTCTCAAGGCATGCCACGCCGACGCGGAGGAGCTCGCCGCCGCCATGGCAGCCCAGGAGGACGCCACCAGGACTTCCACGAGCTGGCACCCGCGCCCGCCGTTGCGCAATTTCGCGCATGGGCGGATTGCGTCCTCGGCCCCCCCGTCGCAGAGGGCCCCGAGCGCCGTCAGCGACGCGAAGGCGCAGGAAGATCGGAGACATGGCCACGCCACGCCGCCCCCCTCGGCGCGCATCTCGACCTCGTCGGCGACAACTCCCCCCAACGGGAGCAGGGGCCCAGCCTCAGGTTCCAGGGCGATGCCGCGGCGAGCCCCCATCCCGGCTGCCAAGGCCCACCAGCCACGCGCCGTTTCTGTTTCGACGCTTTCCTGATGGGCGCCAGGATGGCGTCCTAGTATAAAAAGCGTTCTGCTGAGCTACGCGTCGATCAGGTTCGATCGCGCTCGCCTCAGCCCTCGGCGTCTTTCTTTTCCTCGCCTGGGTCCCGCGGCGTCTGGCGGCGGCGCGCTGGCGACGCGCTCGACTGGCTTGAGTTTGTCTGGCGCCCCAGCGCGCGCGCAACGCTCTCGCGCGCTCGCCCGCTGCCGCGCGCCATTTAGATTGGCGAGGAAGGCGCTGCTGATCGAGGCCCTAGCTGAGGCCGATGCCCGGCCGCTTGCTCTCGAGAGTGCCGCGCATTTCAGTTTCGAGCATTCCCCCGTTCACTCGTCTGAGGCCCGAGCCCGAGCTTGTCGAGAGCGCCGGGCTGTCCGCGCCCAGGGCGCCCCCTGGCGCCATCGACGTCGGAATCGTTTGTCGACGACGCCGCCGCACTTCTTGCTGGCGCGCGCCCCGTCGCGCCACGCCGCGCCGCGACGATGGCGACGATGGCGGCGCCTTCTTGTCCCCGCCCGCCAGGCTTCGGGGCGGGGCGGGCCGCCTTGCTCAGGGCTGCCGCGCCCATCCAGCGGCCAGCTAACCTCAGGCCATCTCTTCCCAAGCCGACCGTCAGGGCGCGGAGCCCCCCCCCCCCTTGCCCCCCCGAGCGGGCCGCGGCATCGACGGGGCGCCCCTGTCAAAGCCAGTTCGAAAATACCTTCCTCTAGGCCGTCGCCGCCCTCGTGCGCCTTATCGCGGATATAGAGACGCAGCGTGAGTGGCCACTCGGGCGCGCCAAGAACCTCTCTGCTCGAGGGCGGGGGGGCTGAGGCCCATCGGCCTCCTCCATTATCTGGCCAGATGTCAGGGCGGACCCCAGCGCCCCCTCGCTCTCGCTCGGCGGCGGCGAAACGCATCGGCTTGCCGGTGGGCCACGGCAGAAGGCGGCTCGGGCAGGCTGGTCTGGGCCCGATCTGCCATATCCGAATGGGGTCCAGCGCGTAGCTTCGCCGGCGCTCCATGGCGCGGCCCGGCCCCGAAAATGCCCCAGGGCAAACCAACGTCGAACGCCTGACTGCTGCGCTCTGCGCAGGTCACCCAGCCTTCATTGAGGCAGCTGTAGATGCTCGTCTGTCTGTGTCGCGCGCCCCGCGCGCTCTCGTCAAAGACGGTCGAGCCTTGCGCGCCGCCCGCCCTTGCCATGCCTTCGCCGCGGGCTGCCACTTAGCAGCGCCCTTGCCGGGCCTTCGCCGTCGTGCCTCGGCCGCTCGAAAGCGTTTCAGGCGCGCTCAGCCTTGTCAGCAAGGGGGTGGCGGTGGGCGACGTCTGGTTGTAGAGGCGCGGGCGGGGATGACAGGCCGTCGAAGTTTTCGCGGCCCCCGCGAGGGCTTTCCGCGAGGAGCCCGCCCGTGCAGACCCCTACGTCAGCCAGTTCAAGAAACAGCTGCTTAGCTTCTCTGCCGCGTTTCCGACCGCGTCTTCAGGCCAGACAGCGCGCGCGGTCGGTCGACGGAGTTCGCCGCGAGAGAGAGGCGTGGGAGCTGCTATCCAGAATGCGCTGCTACCTCGCATGCGTTGGAAACGAGCGCTTCGCTCCCACCAGGCAACCTCGCAGGAGCATCGCGCCTCTCGGTCAGCACTTCAAGCGCGGACAGGCGCGCCACGCGGTCTAGTGTGTCATTCCTTCATCGGACCCGCGTGGGCACGCTATCCTCGGCTCCAACAGCGCGGCGCGTCGTGGGGCCAGGTTGCAGCGATCGCAGGTCGAGAGCGCGTGCGCGGTAGGCCCATCTCTCTTTCTCTTTCTTTATTTCTCTCTCTCTTTCTCGTTATTTCTCTCTCTCTCTCTCTTGTTTTGTTTTCTCTTTCTTTCTTTCTTTCTTTCTCTCTCTCTCTCATGCTTTAGATCTCGGTGATCAGCCGCGTCGGCCCTGCGGCTGTGTTCCGCGAGGGTCCGTCGCGGCCCTCGCCTCGACCGTCTGGGGCTCCCGGATCCCGACTTCCGATTTGCAAAAGGGAGCCTCGAAGATGCTTGGTTTCGGCTGTCTGGACACTCGCCCCCCTGGTCATGGCGCCACAATCGCAAAGCCAATTACGTTCGGAAAACAATGGGATAGGCCTAGATTGCCCCGGATAGTTCCGCCCCGAATTTCGATGTGAGTTTCGCGCGGGTTCTTGTGGTGCTGGGGCTGAGGATATCAAACATCCACGTGACATTCCTTTAGTTTCCCGCTCGCCATTCCGGGGCGTCGGGAAATCCGCTGCAGCACGTCTGCAAGGCCGGTGCAATTGCCCCGGCGAGCATGGCGACCCCTGCTCAGCTTGCGCGGCCACTGCTCTGCATCTCATTTTGTCTGTGCAGGGACTCCATCGGTCGCAGCCGCTGATGCCCCCCCCCCCTGGACGCTCGGGATGTGGGCCGGATCGGGCCGCGGCAGGGGCTGCCGCGGAGGCCCCGAAGCGTCGGCGGAGTGCCTCTTGCAACCCGTCGCGCAAGTCATTCGCAGCAATCGCATCGCAGTTCAGGCGGCCCCCTATCTTCGGGGCGTCGTCTCAGGTGGCCAAAGGCCACAGCGCAGACGCCACGATGCAAGCCCCTGGCAAGAATCTCTCTGCCCGACACCCTTTGCGCGACGACGTATGTCGCGCGGCTCCGCGGAGGAGGTGCCACTGGACACGCCGCCCGCCTTCTCTGGCGGCTTGCTGCCGCGCGCGCCGGATTTGCGCCTCGCCTCCTTGCCGAACGGCCGCAGGTGCCGCTCGTTCATCTGCCCTCTCGCGCCGGGCCCGCAGATCTTTGGCTTCGCGAGGGCGGCGTCTTGCAAGGGCGCGTTTGCCCGACGGGGGCCCGAAGGGCCCAGACCTTTGCATTGAGCACCGAGGCCAGGGGCGGGCCTGCGCCTGAGTTTCAGAAGCCGCGCGCAGTCTCGAGGCGGTCTGCGTTTGCGTTGTTGAGAAGTTCGCCACTGACATCGATGTTCTCAAGCTGCTGCCAGGGGCCACGTTAGGCAGCGACTCCAGCTTTGTTGCGGGCGGAGCTTTGAAGCGCGGTCCCGCGCAGCGTGATTGCGCCAAGACCCACTGGGCCGAGATTCGGCGCATGGTTTGGCACTAACTTCAGGTCTGGGTAGGTTTGAGGGTTCGGATGGGCCTGTCAAGGTCAAAGGCCACGCCTTTCGGGCCGCCGTCCAATCAGGCACTGTGTCTGCATTCCATAAGCAAGCCATCGATTCGGTTGACGAGGGCGTTAAGCTGGCCTCAGACTACTCGCGGGTATCGCCGGATACCTTTCACAAGCTTTAGCAAAAGGCAGAGATGGTGCGAGACTGCGCTTTCTTGGTAGCCCGCGTTGGGCCAACTCTCGCGCCCTCTGGTTCTGTCCATGTTTCGGACGATCAGCGTAAGAAGGCCTTGACAGCCCGCGAGCCTTCGCTGATCGCCCTCCCGCCCGAGCCCCTTTTCAACCTCCAGTTAGGGGCCCAGGCAAGAGGACCATGCCGCAGGCCGCGTGGCGCTCGGTGGAGACCGCGCCCACGTGGTCCACCCCATTTCGCCTCGCAGAGTTGGGCACGTGGGGTGTTCCACCTCCTCCCCCTCCTCCTCCTCCTCCTCCTCCTCCTCCTCCTCCTCCTCCACCTCCTGCCCCGAGGGGGCCCCTCCCGTAGGGGAGGGGTCGGGACCCCAGGGTCCTCCTGGCGCAGGCGGGGAGCGCCGGGCCCGAGGGGCGAAAATCCCCCGCGCCCCGGGGGACGCCGCCAAAGTGCGGTTTCCTTCCCCCGGGGGGGTCGCCAGGCCCCGTGTGCTTCCCCAGGGCGGTGCTGGGTCCCCCCCAGCACTCGCCGCCCTGGGGCGGGGCTGGCGGCTCGTCTCCGTCGTGTCGCTCGTCCGTCTCGTGTCGTTCGTGTCGCGTCGTTCGTTTCGTCCCCCTGTCGTGTCGCGTCGTGTCGTGGTCCCGGGGCCGTAAAGCGCGGCCACCCATGGAGTGGGTGGTGGGCAGGGTTGGCGCTGAGCACGGCTCGCGCCCCCTACCCCGACCAGGGAGCGCGGAGCACGGTCTCCCAGCGCTCCCTGGTCGCGCTTAGGTCGCGCCACGGGGGCATGGCCCCGACGGTGGCGCGGCCTGCGCCGTTTTTGGCGCATCTCGCTGGCACTCGCCACGCCAGCGGAGTCATGTGGCTGTTCATGGGTCGACCATTAAAAAAAAAATCCTCCTCCACCTCCTCCTCCTCCTGGTATTGTGCCGGCTGGTATGGGCCATTCGCCGCCGGCGCTGTTTCTTTCTAGTTGCCAAAAGTGGCAGCCAAAGTTTGTCTCTCTTGTTGTTTTTTTCTCGCGCGCTGGCCTGCCTGGCGCTGGGCAGGTACCAGGAGCAGAAGGAATGGTGGTTGTTTTTGGGTTAGCCGGGGCGCACGGCGGACTTCCTTCGTGCTGGCGATACGCCGTCGTCCCACGCATGGGCTGATGGTCTTGTTTTCACCACCACCACCATAAGTTGGAAGAGAAGGGTTCTCCTCCTCCTCCTCCTCCTCCTCCTCCTCCTCCTCCCCATCCTCCTCGTCCTCCTCTTCCCCCCCTCCAACTTATGGTGGTGGTGGTGGACCAACGTGACATTGATATTTGCATGCATGCGCTCCTGGCCGACGGGGCTTTTCGTCCCCCGTTGCCAGTGGAGAGCGGGGCCGTCGAACCACCTGCGTCCTCCAGGTTCACGGGCACAGGCGACTCAGGCGACAGTCGCAACCTACCGCGCTCTAGCTGGTTGACTTCGCCCTACTTTGGAGGGGCATGCATGCGGAGGTCCGCTGACAATTCTGACTTGCGCACCCGGCTGCTTGGGTCACCGCTGCGAGCGGACGTCAACATCTTCGTCAACGCCCTTGTCGTCGTCGTCGTCGCCGCCTTCTTCGTCGCCCTCTTCGTCGTCCTCGTCGTCGCCCTTGTCCTCGTCGTCGTCGTCGTGAGTTTCCTGGCACTTCTGACACCTCCTGGCCTCCAGCCCGCGCCGGGCGCGCCCCCCTCCAGCCGGCCCGAGAGAGCGCCCCGCCCCCCCTCCCCCCCGCGCGCATGCAGCGCGGTCGGCGCCCTGAGGCGGGCGGCGCCTTTGCCCCTCGCGCCAGCGCGCAAGGATCGGGGCCGTCGCCGCCGCGGGCGTCGTCGTCGTCGTGGTCGTCGCCGCCGCCGTCGCCGGCGTCGCCGCCCCAGACCCCCTCGCGTTGTGAAGAAATGGCGACGGGAAGCTTTTCGACGTTTTCGGCCTCCAGGGATTTCTCCCGGGCCCAGGGAGCGTCAACACAAACGATGTAGGATTAAGCACCGTTCTCGGGGAAGGGGTCGAGACCCCTGGGGGTCGACGTTGTGAAAGAAACACGAGGGGGGGTTGGCGCGAAAGCGCCACGGTCATCGCGCTCCGCGCTCCGCTGAGCGCGACATGCGAAGATAGTTGCAATAGTTCTAGGCCCCCCACACAATGGCCGACGGAAGAATGGCGCCGACAGTGGCGCGCAAGTTGCCCGCGCAAGCCCGCTCTGAGGCGCCCTTCGCTTCCACGGAGGCGCGCCGTGCGGGGCGGCCCGCGTAAAAGGGCGGCGTAAAAGTTCGCTGTGCCCTCTCGCGTAAGACCCTGTTCTGCCCATCTTGTCGGAGTACAGTCAACCCGCATAGTGAGGACGGGCAACCTTCCCAGGAGTACCCTTGCATCCTTGCCTCCTCGGTGCATCCTTGGCCACTTTCGTCGGCCGCGCCCCGCCCGAAAAGCTTTTAAATGGGCGTCCAAGGGCCTTGCATCCTTGTCGCGCATCCTTCTTGTACGGATTGATTGTAGATGGGGTCGGAGGACCGCGCCGCATCGCCGATGCATCGGCGATGCGGCTCGATGTGGAGCCAGACCCTCTGCGCGCAAACACCGCCGACACGTCGCCGACGTCGACGAGGTATCGGCGATGCGGCGCGATCCTCCGACCCAATCTACGTACCCGGACCCCATCTGGGAGGCCTAGTCGTAGGCTTGGATCGAGGACCTCCTAATCACGGCATAAGCAGGGACCATCGGGCGTCCGCACGAATTTTTTGGATCGGCGATGGAACCATCGGCGGCGACTCCGGCGCCGCCCCTGGCGCGCTCTGTGCGCCAGGGCCGGGCTAGCGGGGGGTCCAGAGCCGATCCAAGGAATCTGCGCTGACCTCCGAACGTTTATATCTATCTCGGCTTCATTCCTCCATGGGAATTGCCAGCAAAAACACGACGGATGAATTTTTTGATCAGTTTCGGTATCCGAGGACTCTTACTGGGCCCTGAGCCGTTGAACCGCGATCAGAAACCTGTCTTGCGGAAGGGGAGTCCAGGTTTCTTGGTGTCGGCGTTGTGAACAAAACGGCGTCGCTACGTCTGGACGAGGCTCGGATAAGTGGTCGGGAGGCGTCATCGTCGTCGGGGGAGGAAGAGGAGCATCAAGAACACTGAGAGGGAGGGGGCGGGGGAAGAGGTGGGAGGGAGGGAGAGGGAGGGATGGAGCAGGGTGGAAGGGCGGGGTAGGAAGGGAAGGTGGAAAAGCGGGAGGAGGGAAGGTGGAGAAGCGGGAGGAAGGTGAGGATGAAAAAGAGGAGGAGGAGAATGAGGAGGAGGAGGGGGAGGAGGAGTAGGAGGGGAGGACGACAAGCTAGGTGCGCTCGCGTCATATCTGACGTCCTACCCCTCCCTTCCATCCCTTCCATGGCGTAGATCTCCTCATTCGCACACTCGGATGTCGAGCAGGGCAATGATCGCGAGAGAGTGCGCGATGCATCGTAGAGTATGGCATGGCACGGCGTAGAAGAGCACGGCAGAGCGTATAATGTCATAGCATTGCGTGGCGTTGTGTAGTGAAGCATTGCATCACAAAGCATTGTAACGCAAAGCATGCCATTGCACAGCAGCGCAGGAAAGAGCACCGCACAGCATGTCATGGCAGGGCGGCAGGTTCCTTGGCGGGTGAGTGGACCGTCTTCGAAGGGTCTGGGCCGATCTGGAGACGCGGCTCCATGGAAACCTCCCTGGGCTCCCCGCACAGCTCCCCACGAGGCAGGGCTGATGGAGAGCACCCGCTGGCTCTGCTTGCAACATCGCCCTCTGAACGCAGAAGTGGGGCTCCCGCGTGCTACTTCCCCCAAGCGACGCCGCCCCGAAGTGGGGGAGCCTTCTGCGGCCCAAAAACTCAACGATTCGAAACCGGATGTGTACGTAACTATTTGCGATGTTTTTTCTCTGGAGGGCATGTTCTAGATTTGGAGGCTACCTGGAAGGACCGAAAACGCCCGCGCTACAGCCGGAGCACGTTTTGGACCAACCAGAGGCGCAGAAATGGGGCCAGCGCTGCAGCGGGAGAAATATTTTGAAGGACCGAAAAGAATCGGATTGTCAGAACACATTTAGAATCCAGGAAATAAGGTCAGCGCTGCAGCGGGAGCACGATTCGGAACGAGCGGAAGCACGGAAATGATGCCAGCGTTTCAGCGGGAGCACGATTCGGAACGAGCGGAAGCCCGAACGTGAAGCCAGAATTTGAGCGGGCGCCACATGTTGAACAAAAACCAAGCGAAAACCCAGTTCCCCGGAATCCTCTGTGGAAAGAAATACGCGGAGGGGGACCGTAGATCTTCCGGACACCTCAGGGGAGAAGAGAGTAGTATTCAGATTGTCTAATTGTGCAGGAGAGCGTGGGCAAGGGCCAGGGGGAGGGGGAAGGAGAAGGGGGGGCAGAAAGGGGACAGAGGTGGGGGCCAAGTTCCCGACGCAATAGCCACAAGCTGCCTCGCCCACTTCCTGTCGCCATCCCGCAGCCCGCCACGTCAGCAGCAGCCTAAGACTGGACACGGCAGCGGCCAGCGCTTTCTTTTTTGGACAGCGAAAAAATCACAGAGGCTACAATCGACCCGCATGGTCAAGATGGGCAACCTTTCCAAGGGTACCTTTGCATCCTCGCCTCCGCGGTCCATCCTTGGCCACCTTCGCTGGCCGCGCCCCGCTCGAAGAGCTTCGAAATGGGCGTCCAAGATTCTTCCCAAAAGCGGCCGCCACTGGTGTGTGACAACCTTTTGTGGTGGGCATTGTGCCAGTTTTTTTCGTACCCTGATGTCGGACCTGTCCCCCTACAGGGGGATTGTCGACGAAAAATTGAAAATATCCAAACAATAGTGCACAAATAGTCCAAACAAACATAGTCCAGGGACTATTTTTTTCTGTTTTTTTTGGGGGGGGGCACTTTTGGGGTATTTTTTTTATTCTTCGTCGAAAATCCCCCTGTAGGGGACACGCCCGACATAACCGTACCCATTGTGGGCATCCGAAGCTGCTGGACTGCGGGTGGCCACCCGTCGGACGGGGCCAGGACGGGTATAAGTCCGTTCCAGAGCGTTCCAGAACGCTCTCAGAGCGTGTCGGAGCGCTCGGAGCAGGCCGCGGCGCCCGAGACATCCACCAGAGCCGCTGGGCCTCAGAGATTCCCGCTTCATTCTCGCCCGATTCGATCCTCGTCCTGGCCTCCTATCCCGGGAGTTCTCGACCCATTCCCCGGGACGGGTTTTTCATCCCGAGCCGATGTTGACGCTCCCGAGGCTCGACAAGGGCTCCGAGAGGCTGAAATAACGAAACAAGTTCCCGTCGTGATGCTTGCCCACATCATGAGTGGGGTTCTTGTTTTCTCTGCGCACCCTCCTCGCAGGATCTGTCCTCCACCGTCTCTCCCTCACTCACACACCACCATTATCGTACTTATCGCCGTCATCATCGTCACGTCATCATTAGCATCGTTGTCCTCATCAACATCACCATCATCACCCATCATCACCATACGCATCCGCACTCACGGACTCACCTTGAGGGAAGTCTCGAGCGGAAGCCCCCTCCCTATGGGACCCGCCCTTAATGTTGGTAAGCGGATCATCGGGATCCTCTACGAGGCATAGCACTTGAGCACTGCAGGGGGACACATCGCTTCTCTATGGGACCCTCACTTCTTGGTAATCCGAACGGGTCATCGGAATCATATTCCAGGCATAGCACTTAAGCACCCCAAGGGGGTAAATCGCCAGGACGTCTCTGGCGGAGGCCCCCTTCCTATGTGGCCCGCGCTTCATGTCGGTAATCCGAACGGGTCACCGGGATCATCGACCAGTCAACCTTAGAGCACCCCAAGGGGGCAAATGTCTCGCGCGGGGGCCTCGTCTGTGAGCAAATGGGTAGGACGTCGCAGGCGTGAGCCGCTTTCCTAAGGGGCCCGCCTTCCATGTTGGCAATCCGACCGGGCCATCAGGATCATTCACCGGGCACGTCACTTGAGCCTTCCACGTTTGTGAGTGACTTGCGAGGGAGTCTCTGGAAGGGGCCCCCTCCCTATGCGGCCCGCGCTTCATGTTGGTAATCCGAGCGGGTCACCGGACACATCTACCAGGCATCCTTAGCACTTGAGCACCCAAGGGGGCAAATGCGAGGCCTCCATTTGAGCACTCGAAGGAGTCATTTGAGCATACATCGGGGCCGCGCGCTGTGCGCCGCCAAGGGTTCATCTTGACGCACGCGTCTTCCTGGACTTCCACGTTGTCGCAGGGTTGGACGCTGCGCAAAGGCGTCACCATCGACTGCGCCAGGGATGAGGACGCTGGTCGCGCGGGCATGTCGGACGAGCAGTGGTGGTTGCAACCTTCTACGTCATGATTTGCCGCGCGACGCGCATGCGGAACATGCTGATCTCGCAGCCGCCCACGCGAGAGTTCCTGCAGCGTGGGCTGCCAGCGTCCCTGCGGAAGGCGCTCGGGGAGTTCGACGAGAGGGCGGTGAACTCCAGGTCTGGGGCGGAGCATCTCGCGGCGTAGTTGGGCTGTGCGCTGCGCCCCGCATGAACGCAGCCTCGACTAGCTCGGCAACTGCACCGTTGTCCAAGCGGCGTGCTGCCGCGCCCCAGCGGCCCGCAGGGTTGTCCTAACGGCCTGGCCCGCGGGGTTGCCCGAGCGGCTTAGCGATTGGGCCATCAGAGAACGCGCCCTTTTCCTGGCCTTGGCGGCGAGGGTGCCGAGAACAATCCTGGCGAAAAGAGGGAGAGGCGCATGACGAAAACATGCAGGATTGAGATGAGAAGACGGAGAAAGAGGAAAAGGAGTGGACAACGAAGGGGAAGACGAGGACGAGGAGGAGGAGGAGGAGGAGGGGGGGGAAAAGGACGAGGAGAAACAAAAGGAAAATACGTCGAACGAGGAGGCCGAAAGGAGGAGAGGACGGAAGAAGCGGAAGAGGAGGAGGAGGAACATGCGGGGTGGGGGGCGCAACCGAGGGCGGGTGGAGGGCCGCCTCCAGGTGAAGAGGGAGAAAGAGGGGCACGCTCAATAGGTTCACGTGCGGGGTCGTACCGTCGGAGTACGTGTATCGTTCGAGGTGGTTTGGGCCCGAGCGTTCCGGCAGAGCTGCCGGGGAACCGCCGCGATTTTTTTGGGCGGCGGGCGCCGGAGGAGGGTGTTTTCTTGAAGCCTGGAATGGGGGCGACGGTGCCGCTGCTTCTGGAGGACTCCCACCCTCCCCCCGACGACTGGACGAGTGAAGCAGCGTTTCTCCAGAAATGGAAGGATACCGAGGGATACGCCCCAATTGGGGCTATTCGGATGCACCCCTATCGAGGATGGGCGCCCCCCATCGTATATATCCAACTGTTGGCCCCAGATTATGTGGTCCAGTAGAAAACCCAACGAACCTCTGGACGGGGGATCGACACATGCCTGTTTAACATCCCCTGTCGGACCTCGTCTGTCCCCAAAATCGGGTTGTTTTTTCTTCTGCCCCGCGCGGGCTCGATGCGGGTCCAACGCGGATGTGGCATGGATGATTCGGCGCGGTTTCGACATGGAGTCGACGTGAATTCGGTAATTCCGGCATGAATTCGACACGGTCTCGGCGCGGATAGGGGCGCCATTGGACAGACGAGGGCCCCCGAAGATGCCCCAGACACCACGGAACATCCCGCTCGTCTTGGGCCGAATGCACATCGGCGGCTCGCGCCCAATAGCGCTCAGAAGGCGCCCACTGGCGTCATGCGGGGTCGGTGCATGATGTTCGCTAAACGCGCAATTTTGCGTGCTATCGGGCGCCATGGGGGCGACCAACATCTGCTGTATGTTGCTGCCTAACGACACCGCCACCCTTCCCTTGAAGGCCCTCGTCGCCACGGCTGGATGTGCTTCGAAGTTCTGGTCAGAAAGCACCCTGGAAGAGATCCCGGGAGTAGAGGTATCGGTATCTCCTGGGTTCCCCGAGAGCAGGAGGAGGATCAGCAAGGTTTGCAGGACCATTCGGAGGTGCAGCACAAACAACGGGAGGTGGGGGGGTGATCCTTCTTCTGCCCTCCTCCTCGGGCGTCACTTGTAACAGTCGCTCTCTCCCCAGCTGAACTCAGCAGCCAGAGGGTGCGAAAAGACCAGCAGGAGGACATAAAGGGGTTTACGCACGTACTTGGATCACCGCTAAGGTCGCTAAGGGGATAAAGGCTAAGATGATGAAAGGGGCTGCACGTGGATTATATGACGGGATATACGTGGCCGGACCCAGCTCACAAATGGTTGACAAGGGCCTTACATGGTTCGAAGTGGTTTGGTGACGCTGCTGGTTGGGCTCCGTCCACTTTGCCCAGGCCTTTCCCCCTGCCTCTCAGGGCACCTGCAACCCACTTGGAAGCCAGGTTCGGCCAGATATGCCACAACCCACCTTAGCGTGCCCACTTATGATAATCGTTTTTCCGACCCCCATTCCCAGCGGCGTGGCTTGGGCCCCACTGGCCGACTTGCCCCCTCTGGATGGGGATATGGGCCGTTCCCTTCTGGTTTCGAGGGGCGTATCCCTAACTGGGGTGGTAATTTGGTGGGGGGCCTCGAAGGAGATGGGGATGGGGATGGGGATCGGATAAACGACACTGAACGTAGAACTCCCCGATCCCCTCAGCAGCCCCAGCGGTGATCCACGCAGACCCCGACCTGTGCCCCCTGGAACGCCTGCGCCTCCGCACGTCCGAGGGCAGAACACCGCAAAGAAGTGTCTACCAGGGGGCGGTCGGTGGCGCCGCAGGGCCTGGCCGCGCCGGGCCGCTCTCGTCCGCGCGGGGGTGGCGGCACTCGAGCAGTGGCGAAGCGTCCTGGCGTGCCTATAGGCCTTCCAAGCCATGTTCTAAGAACCCCCTGTGGTTCCCACGAAATGGTCTAAGAACATTTCGGGCCGGGACTGCCTTGTTTCAACTCATCGGACCCATGTCATAAGGACACCTTTTCTGTTCTCAGAGCATTTGGGGGAGTTCTTCGAATGTTTCGTGGTAGGCCTATAGAAATGCCGGGACGGTCGGTCCCTGCTCAATCCGGTCCCCCTCTCGGGATGCCCTCCCTGGAAGGCTGCATGCGGCGCAGCATTCTTTCTTGCGTCGGCGGGCTCGCAGCGGGCCCGTCGCGGCCCAGCCTCGCGCTGGGCTGCAGTCCTCGGGTGTTGCCAGAAGTGCCCCTGGCCCAGGGTACCCCCAGGAGTCTCGGGGTGGCCCAGGCGGCCTCCAGAGCACCCCTCACGAGGCCCAGAGGGCCCCAGGGGCTCCCGTGCAGCCCTCGTGCGCGAGTGCGCGGCAGCGCGTGAGGCCCTCGTGCGCGAGTGCCCGTGGCGTGCGGGCGCAGCAGGAAGTCAAGGTCCTCGGAAGCACGGGTGGTCGACCGAGGCCGAGCGCGAGGTACACGAAAGGGAGCAACGCGCACACACAAGGCCCACGCCACCACCCCCAGATCTGACTCTGACGTTGCGGAAAAAATAGGCTACGTCGCAACGAATCACCACTGTTGCCGTAGCTCCCGGCTTTCTGCGTCATGTTTCGAGCCGGGTCGATGTTTGAGGGTCCCGGGGCCCGAAACCGGGCGAAAAATCCCGTTGTGAAAACAAATCGAAGCCAGGATCTCGAGGAGGTCCCGTGACATGTTGGTCATGGTCATCGTGTTTCCCCCCTCGGCGCAGAAGCCGGCGGGGCTTCTCAAAAAGCCCTGTGGCTTTCTGGGAAGCCTCCCCTGTCTTCGAAGAAGGCTCAGAAAACATATTAGAAGTTCCGAGGCCTTCCGAGCCTTCTGAGAAGGTCGGCCCCCTCTGAATATCATTCTGAACCTCCACATGCGCTGTGCGGCAGCAAGCGCAAACGCCGAGACCACCGGGAGGAGCCGCAACAGTGCGCGGGTGATCTACGGCCTAGTCGCCCACGCCTGGTAATTCCATGTGTCGATCTAGCGGTCTTCGGCACATCCTGCCGCCGTGCCAGGGTTGTTGGTACTGGATGTTCGTTGGGATCTCGTGGAAGGCCTCTTGGAGGCCGTTTTGGGGGCCTCTTGGGGCCTCTTTGGGGTAACATTTTTGCGTTGTATGTCGGTTGGGTGTCACGTGCTTCGGCAGTGCCTCGGCAGCAGCAGCAGCAGCAGCAGCAGCAGCAGCAGGGCCTCCGCCGCCGAGGCCCGGCCGGCGCCTCGCCGCTCGAAGGCCCGGCAGGCAGCGGCGCGTGCGGGGGCGCCGAGGAGCCGCGCGCGCGGCCGCGGCACGGCGGCTTCGGGGCCGCGGCGCGCTCTCGGCACAGGGCGCTGCGTGTTGGTCGCCCGCGTGCAGAGGGGGGAAGTCGATCAAGCAGTGGCGAAGCGTCCTGGCTTGCCTATAGGCCCACCACAGATTGTTCAAAGAAATTGTTGTGGTTTGCGCGACATAATCTTAGAACATGTCTGGTTGAGACCGTCTTGTCTTAATACATCTGGGTTACGTTATGAGAACATTGTTTATGTTATCATAGCATGTGTGGGTTCTGAGAACATGTCGTGGTAGGCGTATAGGAGTGCCAGGACGGTTGGTCCCTGCCCAAGTCTGGGAAGCCCAGATGTGGTCGGAGGATCATGCCGCATCGCCGCTGTATCGCTGGTGCGGTTCGATGTGGAGCCCGACTTTATCCGCGCTGGAGTCTCTGATGCACCGCCGACGTTGCCGATGCATCGGCGATGCATCGCCGATGCATTGGCGATGCATCGGCGATGCGGCGCGATCCTCCGACCCCATCTACTCGGACCCCGTCCAGGAGGCCTCTAGGTAGAGGGAGGGGGCAGAGCCTTCTCTGCAGATGTAGGGCTTGCGCCTTCTGAGAAGCAGCCTCCTTCGAGAAAGCCTTCCCACCTCCCCCCGTGACCCTACCCACTTTGTGCGCGCCGCCAACATGGGGAGGCGACAGACCCTGACATGCTCGCGTCGTGAACAAAAAGCGCGACGGCAGTTTCTTCGTGCCATTTTCGCCTGTAGCCGGGCCCCAGGACCGTCAAATAACTTCTCGCGACAGAAAGGCGGCCCTGGGGATTGGGTCAGGATGCCTCCGACGTGTTTGATGCTTGTGTTATTGGTGTGTTGTTTTCTTGCTGTTGTTGTTTTTGATATGGTTGTTGGTGTTGTTCCTAGGTTATAGTTTCATTGTTGTTTTGTAGTATTGTTGTTCTTGTTATTGTAACTGCTGTTGCTTTTCTTTTTGTCTCTGGGTGGCAGCAAGGACAAGAACACTGCGAACAAGGACATGGGATGTTTGGGGAATGGATGGCGATGGATGTGGAGGTTATGAGAGGTCCACCTTTTGTGCGCAGTAAGGGCCCCACCCCAGGGTCCCAGAAAGACCACGACGGGTGCACGCTTCTTCCCGCCCCCTTGTATCGCCCACCCACTTAGCAACGCCCAACAGAAGTGGCTCACGATCGGTCGTACGGATACTTGCCGCGCAGGGCGCTTGCGAGAACAAACTCCCCGTATCTGCGGGGTCACGGCCCAGGAGCCCGGCCCGCGAGGCCGCGGATGCGGATCGGTTACGTTTGATGCCCACGAGAGGTGCCAAAGTCCCCTCGCGTCGCGAAGAAGAATTGCCCCAGCCGGGCACTGGAAGTATTGGCAGTACGGGTGAAGAGGCGAGTCAACAAAATAACTCGTCGAGGCACGGCCGTATGCACCTGAGTATGTGTACAGGTGGGGATCTTGGCCGTCCGGACCCAACACGTAGCCAGACTTGAGGCAAGATCGTTGTTCTTGAGCATAAGTTCACTAACTCAAAACAGACGCCCAATCCCAAAAGCGCGGGGGCCAAGACAAAACACAGACACCTCGACGATCTTCGGGGAGGGAGATTTTGGGGTAGGGTTTTACCAGGGTGACGATGACGAACGCAAAACATACCCCGAAATCTTTGGCCGATCTTCGAATCCTCGGCGAATCCGCGATTTTGGGATTGGGGATTTGTTTTTCGTGGTCATAAGATGTGGAGAAGAGTCAGGCGAAACGGCTTCCAGACCGGGCGGCCCAGGGTTCTCTGCGGGTTTCTCCGGTAGTTTTTGTCGTTTAACCCGTCTGCGACCCCTCCTTAGCGAAACGCTATCTGGGAATCATGGCGGGAGGGTCTTGGTAGGTTTCGATTTCTTGGGGTTTTGACCAGGCCCCGGGAGCGCCAATTTATTGTCCGAGACGGGGAACTATTCTTGGGGAAAGGGGTTCGGTTCGCGCCGCGTCGTTTTGTGGTGTAAGCTACGTGGCGCTATCTGTTCGGTGCAATCTCTGTGCTGTAATCTCGATCCAACAGATGTGGTGCAAGTTCTGTGGTGTAGTCCTATGCGTGCGTACAATGATGGCCTACGCCATTCCGACGATCCCCAGACGAAGTGAGCAGTCTAGGGAAAATGCGAGAGCGAAGTGTGATCGTCAACGCGACAAGAGCAGATGCAGCCAAAAAGCAGGGGATGGTATGCGTCTCTTGCCACGATTTTGTTCCTGCGGCAGGAGCACATCGCTCGAGCCCAAAAAAACAAATCATGTGCGCAAGGGGAAAAGGGCGGTGCGCAAGGACTGCTCGGGCAGAGGTCGTTGAGGGTGTTTGGATGCTTGGGCCCATGTAGCGAGAGTCTACTTCGGGATGTGTTGTTTTCCATGAGTGCAAGGCTAATTTCGCCTACATCGTTGGGCCTTTGAAATTGAAGCGCACGATGTGCAACGACATGTGATCGTGAAAAGGAATGAAATGTGACGGTGTACAAGTCTACTGGTGATGACTTGTGGACGTCTTGGTGAACGTCTTTGAAGTCTCGTCACATGTTCTTGGGCCCGTGCTAGCTGTTTCTTGGACGCTGTCGCGCGCATGTGATGCTTCCTGGTGTCCACGTGCACGGGAGGAGTGACCGCCGCGCAGTCGCTACTCCGCGCACAGGGCTTGTTTATCTTGCGCTTCTCGGGAGGTGCACGGAAATATGTTGCGCGTCGTGCGTGAGGCCATATGTTCCCAGAGTGACGTCGCGGATGGTGGATATACTTTTTGTGCCGGTTTTGAACATAATAATGAGAGGAGGAGGAGGAGGAGGAGGAGGAGGAGGAGGAGGAGGAGGAGGAGGAAGAGGAGGAGGAGGAGGACGAGTAGTTGGAGGAGGAGGAGGAGGAACATCAGGCAATACATATGTATATGTATGTGGACCAGGAGGAGGGTGCCGAGGGCAATGGGGCGGTTTGTAATGTTGCCCGGGCTCTGTTTGAGCCCCCCTCACGCAGCTGGGGGGTGTCTTCTGGGATCGTCTCAAGGCGGGCACGTCCCTCTACAGGAGGAATATAAAAACATAGTCACATAGTAGTATGACGACAATGATTCAATTATTTTTCTAGTGTTTTTTTCGCAGAATTCTTAGTTCTCCGTCCAAAATTCCCCTGTCGGACCCCTCTGGGAGGTCTCATTAGGGTATTTGCGAAGGACTTCCCTTGGGGCCGCATTGAGGTGTTTGTTTGACGTGTCGGGGGGCCTTTTTTGGGTCGACTCGGGCCCCTTTGGCCTTTTTGAGGGCCTGGCCAGTTTGGGGGGCATCTCAAATGAGGCCGCCTTGATCGTGCAGGCACCAGAGAGTCGATGCCCCGGAAGTCATGCGAACACGCATGGGGGGGTTAACACGTGTGCTTGTTTTTGTGGCATTTTGGGGGGTCCTCCTTTGGGGATTTTTGTTTCGTCGTCGTGGGCTGTCTTGTCAAGGTCTAGGATGTTCTTGAGACCTCTCTTGCGTATTGGAGCCATCTAAACAAGCCCCTTGGGTTCTTGGCGCCCACGGAGGGTGGAATTTGAGGCTCCGAGGTCCTCGTGGGAGCGTTGATGAAGCCGGCCACCGCCCCACCCACCCCTTCTCAAAGGCGATTCTGGATTCCAGGGGGGGGGGGAGTGGGGCGACACACGCCCTTGGAATCCCTGGCAAGCGGGGTGTCGGCGGACTCTGGAGGCGCCAGTCCGCGCACAGGGCAGCCACGTGCGGGCTCCAAGCGAGGATCCGAGGAGCCCACCCAGCGCGCGGCGTGCCCATGGGGGGCGCCGGCCGGCGGACAGCGGGCAGCGAGCACGAGAGGCGCCCGTCGGCGGGCCTGGGCGATGCCGGGGCGCTCACGGGCGGGCACACGGGGCAAAAAAGGGGGACCCATTCGATGTCTTCAGAGCCCCGAATCATCAGGGGTAACTCGGGTCAGGGTTAACTCGGGTTCGTTTTTCGGGAATCCGAACCCGAGTCATCCCGGACCCGAGTTACCCCGGATATTTCGGGCGTCCAGAGCCCCGAATCATCAGGGGTAACTCGGGTCAGGGCTAACTCGGGTTCGTTTTTCGGGAACCCAAACCCGAGTTACCCCGGACCCGAGGTACCCCGGATAACTCGGGCGTCCAATGTCTGCACAGGGGACAGTGAAGTCAGTGTCGTTTAACCGACCCCCATGCCCATCCGCATCCCCTTCGAGGCCCCCACCAGATTACCACCCCAGTTGGAGAAACACACACCTCGAAGCCCGAAGGGAACGGCCTATATCCCCATCTGGGGGCGTACATCGGCCAGTTGGGCCCAGGCCATGCCGCTGGGGATGGAGGTCGGATAAACGATGCTCACGAAGTCAGAAGGATGGCTCACGCACTGGTAAGTAACACATAATGGAGGATGAAGGGCGAAGGACGAGGAGGAAGAGAAGATCATGATGATCTCCTCCCGTCTTTTGCTCCGGGCCCCTTTCCATTTCCGCCCGCCTCCCTCCTCGTCCGCCCCCATGCCCCCCCGTCTCCCACCATTTCCCCCTCTTCTTGGTCTCCTCGCTCCCCGCCCCCATCCCTCACTTTCTCCTCCCTCGCTTTTCATCCGCTCTTATCCGTCCCACGCCTTTTCCTCCTCTCTTGCCGGAGGGAGGAGTTGGAAAATCCGTCCTCCTCCGACATGTCTTGCACCTCCTCATCACCCCCCCATACCTCTACATCTCCTCCCCCCGAAGAGCACGAAGGAGGAGGAGGAGGAGGACGGAACAGTGAGGGTGATGAGGAGGATGGGTTTTGGGAGCAGTGAGAGCGATCGGGGGTGGGCGGGGGCGCCGAGCTGCCACGGGGCTTCCGACGGCCGTGCAAAGGCAGCGCGGACGACGGCGCTGGCGACGAGCAGCGGCGGTCGCTGCAGCAGCCGCCGCCCGCAGGACGCCCTGGATGTCGAGCTGCGCAGGCGCAGCGGCGACGCCGCGCGCGTTCCGCTCGGGCGTGGGGCGTACCACGATCCGTCCAGCGGCTCGCAGAATCTGGGGACGCGCGGCTCTTCGCCGCTGCTGCTGCTGCTGGTGCTGCTGCTGGTGCTGCTGCTGGTGCCTTCTCGGCCTCCATCCTCTGCGGCCTTCCCCGCCTCCTCCTCCTCCTCGTCTACTCGTCGTCCTCCCCCTCTTCGTTCTCCCTCCGCGTGATCCCTTGCCTTCCCTCATCCTTCGTATCCTCTCGATCTTCCTCTTCCCCCCCCCCCTCACCACCCGAGGAGGATGAGGAGGGTAGAAACTCACTAGGATACGCAGGAGAAGGAGGTATGGCGTTTGAAGTGTCCTTGGGAATTAAGTTGGCGAGGATCTGGAGCGAGGGACAGAGGGGAAAGGCGGAGTCACACTTAGGGAGGGGAAGAGGCAGGAATGGGGAATAGGGGAGGAGGAGGGATTGCTGTGCCTGACCTTCGTCAGAGTGAGCACTGTGCGATTGCCACTTCTTGATGGCGTGCGTTGGGCGTGAATGTGGTGCTGGACATGCTGTTCGCGCTTGTTGGCTTGTCCTCCTGCTCCCGCAGCCCCCTGTTCTTCCTTGTCGTTAGCTTCGCCATGCAATCATAGACATGTCTGATGATCTTGCTATTGGCGTGGGAGAGGGAGGGGGAGACGGAGCATGACGGAGAGGAGTGGAGAGGTGAGGTGGGCGAGCGGGTGGGGAGAGGGAGAGGGAGGTCAAGTTCGGTTGGTAGGGCGATGTGGACAAGAGAAGGAGAGAGAGAGAGAGAGAGAGAGAGAGAAAAAGAGGGATAAAGAGACGTGAAAAAAGAGCGAGAGAGAGAGGGACGGGGAAGGAGGGCGGTGACCTTCAGGTCCAGGGAGAGGTGGGAGCAGGAGCCGGAAGAGGGGAAGAGAGGAGGAAGGATAACCTGAGTGACAAAAGCGGAGGTTGGTGGATGATGATGATGAGGAGGAGGAGGAGGGACAGGAGGAGAAGGAGGTGGAGGAGGAGGAGGAGGAGGAGGAGGACAAGTTAGGTGCGCTCGCCTCATATCTGACGTCCTACCCCTTCCTCCCATCCCTTACCACGGCGTGTATATCCTCTATCTTCGAGCATTCGGATGTCGAGCAGGGCGATGATCGCGAGAGGGTACGCGATGCATGGTAGAGCATGGCATGGCATGGTGTATTAGAGTACGGCAGAGCGTAGCATGCTGTAGCATGGCGTGGCATTGCGCAGTGACGCATTGTATCACAAATCATTGCAACGCAAAGCATGGCATCGCACACCGGCGCAGAACACAACACCGCACAGCGTGTCATGACATGGCGCCAGGTTCCCTGGAGGGTAAGTGGATCGTCTTCGAGAAGTCTGGGCCGGTCGTGAGTATGTCTAGCTCCTTGGGCTCCCCGACAAGCTCCACACAAGGCGGGATTGATGGAGAGCACCCGCTGACTCTGCTGTCAACATCGCTTTCTCAAAGCGGGGCTCCCGCTGGATATTTCCTGAAAACAACGCCCCGAAGTGGGGGGATAAGGTTTCTGCGGTCCAAAAAATTTGCGAATCGGCACCGGATGCGTAATCACTCCCGATGCTTTTGTTTCAGGGGAACATTTTTCAGATTTTGGAGCCTATTTGGGAGGACCGAAAACGCCCGCGCTGCAGCTGGAGTACAATTTGGATATACCAGAGGCGCAGAAATGGGGCCAGCGCTTTAGCGGAAACAACATTTTGAAACACATTAGCGGAAACCCATTTTCCAGGAATCTTGTGTGAAACATGCAGTACGCGAAGTGAGCAGAACATCATCATTCCAGACGTCATCAGGGGAGAGCGGAGAATAGTATTCAGATGTTGTCATTGTGGAGGAGGAAGAGGAGGAGGACGAGGACGAGGAGGAGGGGCATGAGGAGGAAGAGGCGGAGGCGGAGGCGGAGGCGGAGGCGTAGGAGGAGGAGGAGGAGGAGGAGGAGGAGGAGGAGGGGGAGGAGGAGGAGTAGACGGGGGAGGAGGAGGAGGGGTAACATCGGCGCAGCGCTGCGTGCAGCCGGTAGCACTCCCCCCGCCTCCGCCCCATGGGACCCGCAGGAACCACATCGGCACGAGGTCCTGCGTGCGGCAATCCAAGTTTTTCCGCATGTACGAGTCCGGGAACGCCACCAAGGCTCCGTCTCTCTGCTCCTGCTGCCAACACCCCCCCTTGTCCGTTCATCCTCCTCCTCCGTTTTCTTCGTCCTTGTTCTGCTGAGCTCTCTGGGCCCTCGCCAACGGCCTGGAGCCCTCGTCGGGGATGTTCCGCTTCGGGACGGACAGCGGGATTGCGTGCGTGGGCTGGCATGCCCAAGGCATCCGAGCACCAGGCCTCAGCAGGAGTCAACGGCGGCATGCGGCGACGAGCATGCTGTGCATTGCAGGAGCACGGAGGAAGGTCAGGGGACGTGCAGCTGCTCCGCCCGAGCAGCAACCTCAGGGCGGGGAGGAAGCGGCCCGCAACGGCATGCGACAGGTTCGTGTGGTGTCGACGCCGTGGCGACCCCGCCGCAGACGTTCAAGGTTGAACGTCGCCAGTGTCCCAGATCTAGCCAACATGGAACGATCTGGCTTGTGAGAGACCGCGTGTATCGTTCAAGGTTGAAGGATGCACGCGGTGTCAGACACCGACGCTGGGGTCGTCATCGGGCGGGGCTACGACGAGGATAAATCCATTCCAGAGCGTGCCGGAACGCTCTGAGAGCTTCCTGGAACGCTCTGAGCAGGCCGCGGCGCCCGCTACATCCCCCAGAGCCGCGGGATCTCAGATATTCCCGATGTATACTCACTTGCTTTGTATCCTCGTCCTGGCTTGATCCTGCGTCACGGCACGCACCTGCCATAGCCAGGCACGCCTGGGAGGGCTGCGAGGTCGCGGACGGGCCGTGCCGCAGCAGGCGCTCCGCAGGCGCGGCGTCGGCGGGAGCGAGAGCTCAGCTGCCAGGAGTGGGCGCGCGGCGCCGCCAGCACGAGGGGGGGCATCGGCTGACCTCCATCGGGCCGACGCACGGCCAACCAAAATCAGGAGGGGAACAAACACTCACACTTACACTTACACTTACACCTACACCTACACCTACACCTACACTTACACTTACACTTACACTTACACCTACACTTACACTTACACTTACACTTACACGCACACAAACACACGCACACACACACACACACGCACACACACACACACACACACGCACACACACACACACACACACACACACACACACACACGCACGCACCCACACGCACACGCACACACACGCGCACTCGCACGCGCACGCGCACGCGCACGCGCACACGCACACGCACACGCACCCGCACACGCACACGCACACGCACAAGCACGCGCACACGCACACGCACACGCACACGCACACGCACACGCACACGCACCCGCACACGCACACGCACACGCACACGCACACGCACACACATATACACAAGCATACACAGTGAATTGTCTACGTATCCCCAGGGAAGTATGGGAAAGCAAAGGAAGTGGGAGGGAAGACGCAGATCCAGAAAATACCAGAAACTAAGGGGAATACTTAGAGCTGTCTCTATTGATTTGTGTGCCCCAGGGCCCCTTCAACAGAAAAGCCCTCCGGCCGTGATCTTCTCCAAGGCGGTGGCCTGTCTTCGGGACGATCGAAATGGGTACGGAAGGAGTGGGTACGATGCCCAACAGCCCGCGCCGCCGCGGACATTGTACCCGTTACTTCCATACCATTTCGGGCGTCCGAATCTGTTTGGGGAGGGGTGCTGCTGCTCTGGCGGCGGCCCCCGCTACCGCGGGGGCTCTCCGCGCCATCTGCGCCGCGGCGCGGCAGGCCCCCGGGGGGGGGCCGTGCCGAGGCTGCAGTTCGGGCCCCAGATCTGAGGGGCGAATGTTTGCACCACTACTGCCACACCTGCAGGACGGGGAGAAGAGAGGATGGGAAGGTCCTCCTCCTCCTCCTCCTCCTCCTGCTCCCTCCCCTACCTATGGTAGTGGTGGTGGTGGAAAAACGGCCCATCAAGTTCAGAGGAGTGCGGGCTGAGGCAGCGGCAGTCAGCAATCGGGGGGGCGGGAATGCAGCTGGACGCAGCTCGGAAAGCTGGGGCGGTTGGACCACGGGAGTGGGCTCTGGGCTGATTTTGATGCGTCGCCGGGCGAGGCTGGGACGAGGATAACATCCGTTCCAGAGCGTTTTGGATCGCCCTCAGAGCGTCCAAGAACGCTCTGAGAAGGCCGCGGCGCCCGAGATCTCAAATCATCCCGATTTACTCTCACCCGGATTTGTTTTCGTCCTGGCATTGTCTTAGAGCTCTCGAGTGCGAGGCGGCGGGGACCCGAAATGCAAGGACAAGTGGTGCCCGGGGCATTCAGGCGAGGCGTCCATTCGGGCCGATGGGGAGTCCAGTATGTCGCGGGCGCTCCGCGGTCTGTATCCTTGCTTTGGCAAGGTCCTTGGGCTCGTCCTGGCTTCGTCTTTTCAGGCCTCCTAGATGGGGTCCGAGTAGAACGGGCCAGAGGATCGTGCCGCAGCGCCGATGCATTGACGATGCGGTTCGATGTAGAGCTCGTGTTTTCCCACGCCTCGGCGATGCATTGGCGATGCGGCGCGCTTCTTCGACCAATTCTACTCCGACCCCATCTAGGAGGCTTCTAGTCTTAGGTCGGGCATGTCCCCCTACAGCCGGATTTTGGAAGAAGGATGGCACAGATGCCAAAACATGCTCAAACATAGCCCAAACATAACTTAACATTCGTCCCCTGACTGTTTTTGCCTACGTTTGAAGACTCCTCCTGTAGAGGGACACGCCCGACTTCCGTCACACGTCGAGGCCTTGACTCGCCGACCCGAGGGGGGAGCCCGAGAGAGCCAGGCGGCCGCAGGCGGGCCCGCGGCGGCGGCAGCGTCATACGGCGGCGCACTCCAGCCGCGCCTGCGCCCCGGACGGGCCCGCCCGCCCCGGCGGCGGCGGGGGCGGCGCCCTCCGACCGCGCGGCGTCCTGGACACCATGAGGCGACGATAGTCAGGAGAGGAAAAAGCACACAGACACAATTAATCGTCGATTCCCAGGAAAATATGGGAAGTGGGGGGGAAGACAAAAACCCAGAAAATATTAGAAACTATGGGGAATATTTTTATGTGTGTGTATTTATTTGTGTGTCCTGGGGCCCCTCCAGATAGGGGCGAATGTCAAGTCGGGTCGCCCCCATCGTCGCCTCCTGGTGCCCCTCGGGACACAAACAATGACACAACAGCTCGGAGGTTCGCGCGGATTTCTCGGATCGGCGCCGGGGCATCCCGGCGCCGCCCCCGGCGCGCCCCGCGCGCCAGGGAGGGGTTCGGCGCCGATCCGAGCAATCCGCGCGGGCCTCCGAGTTTTTATGGTTAGTTCACTGTTTGTTTCCCTATGGACACCAGAGGCGGCGATAGGGGTGAAAATTAGAGTTAAGTCGAGCATGTCCCTCACACGAGGAGTATTCAAGATATTCGACGTTGCATGGCATCGACACCTGTTTTCCTCTCGTGTAGTCAGTCACCTGCTCCGCCGTGCCCTGCCGACGTCGGGCCGACCTCGGAATTCTGGAGGTGGGGTGAGTGGCGTGGGAAGTGGGGGAGACGTGCGTGCACGGGCGGTTCTGGCCTGGCGTCGGTGGCGGTCGGCCTGACCAGATATGGGCGGGCCTTTGTCGAAATATCTTACGAGGACGCCCCCGTTCTCGCAGGCCGCGTACAGACCGTGCTTAGTTCTGAGTATTATGTTCTGCTCCAAGCCTTGCTATATGCCGCTAATCCTGCGCACGTGGTCAATGACCATTTGTCGGCTGAGGCGGGCAACGAGTGCGAGCTGCGTGATGAAACGACTGTCTCCAAACGCGCTAACGTCTGATGGTGTGCTTGTCATGTTGATCGGGACTTCGGTACCGTCGTTTGAGTTGGTCCCTTCTAATTGGGGCCATGAGGCGTTGCTGACAGACCCCGATGATATGTCTTCGCACTTGGTCGAAGATTCCTGGGCCGACATGTTTGCTACGCGGGGCCCCAAGTCTCACGAATTGTAGATTGCGGTTGTCGAGGCGCGCGCGTGTGGAGTTCAAGCGCGCCACAGCCAACTCGGGGGCCGTCCCTTCGCTTGGATGGCCAGAGCTGCGGCACAGAAGTCGGCCGCGCTCGTGCCTGGGATCGTTGGGCCCGCCTCGGCCCCTCGGGGCCCTGTCCCCGTGCCCTCTCCATCATGGCCCAGCATGAGGTCTGGCGTGGCGTGAGCGCGCGCGAGCGTGGGCGCCCGCGCTGCAGTCGGTTCGCGCGCGCGACTGCCGCGCAGCTTGCGTGCGCCGCGCGCGAGGTGCGCGTGAGCATGCGCCAGCCAGTGCGGGAGTGGCGGGGAGGTCCCTGGCTCCGTCACCGCCTGCTCTCCAGGGCGCCCGCTCGGGAGGTCTCGTCGGAGGCGCCTCGGCCCGCCAGAGGGGCCGTCTGAGGCGCAGGCCTGGGAGCCTGCGCCGCCCCCCCCCCCACGCCTCTTCCTGGAGTCGGGGGGGGCGGGAGGGTTGGCGGGGGGGGGGGAGCCTGACCGCTGCTGCGCGCGAGGGCGTCATCCCCGGGCGCGCGGGCAGGTTGCACCATCTGCCTCGAGGGCGGGAGGGTTTGTGGCGGGGGTCGGTCGCCATCCCCGTTCTCGCCGCCGGGTGGACGCTCGAGGGCCAAAAGTTCGTTTGGCCAATGGAAACAACAACAAACAAACAAACAAACACAAAAACAAAAAAAAACGTTCCCTTGGCCAATGAGCGCGCCCAAGTGTCGCGCGCTCCCTCGGGGGGGCGCCATCCCACGTCTGGAGCTCTCCCAGCCTCCTGTGGCGGCGCAGAGGGCGTGTTCGGGAGGCGCGCCGCTCTACCGCCGCTCCGTCGCCGTCTCCTTCACGGATCTGTCTCAGCGCGGTGTTCGCGGTTCGAGTGCCCTGCCGTCTTGAAGGTATAGCGGGGGGCTTCTCTGGAGCCTCGCTGGGGCTCCCTGGGAGCGGTGCAGTGCCTTTTAGAAACTGTTGGTGGCTCCTGGGGATGCCTGCTGTAGGTTTTTTTTTGGGGGGGGTCTCGGGAGCTTGGGGCCTCCTGGGGGGGTCTTGGGAAGTTTCGAGGCCCCTTGATGCCTCGTTCTCGCGCTTCTCCAGTGGCCTTTTTGGAGGCTTCTTGGGCCATCTTGGTGAACCCATTGGACAGTTGTTTGGACCTCCTGGTTTGTCTTGGGGACCTCCTGGTCCGTCTTGGGGCCCTCGTGGGTTCCTTTTGGGTTGTTTCGGCGCCATCCCAGGTACTGTTTGGGCCCTCCAGACTGGGCCACCTAATTGAAATCATCAATTGCTCGGGGCATTGGGTTTGATATTGCGGTCACCCACGCTCTCGGTTGAGATTGTATTCGGGGTCTTTCAGGAGCAAGGTTTGGCTAGAGATTGAGCAGAGGCAATTTCGTTTCAGGCTCGAGAGAGGCACGTTTTCGTTTGATGGCTGGCAGATGCAAGATGTCGTTTGAGATTTCGTTTGGGGGGGATTTAGCATGGCACAGGTTTCGCTTGTGATTCTGCATGATATTGAGCCGAGGCAAGTTGTCGTTTAGGCGTTTGGCGTAGATTCTGTTGTGGGCTTCAGCGAGGGCGGGACATTTCGTTGGAGATGCTGTTTGGGATTCAACAGTGGCAGTTTGAGGTATGGTTGGGGAGGCCCGAATCGTGGCGAGGCCCGAAGCCGTCCTCCCCGATTGGCGTTTTGGCCACGTTCGTAGGACAGCCTGGCGACGTACATGATAACTGCCAGCACGCGTAGGTAGGCGAGATGTGTAAGTTATCGCTGTCCGCTCCCATCTCCTGCTCCTCCTAAAAAAAGTGTGAGGTATGGTTGGGGCTTCCATTTGGATGTTGTCGTGGGCCAGCTTTTCACGGCAAGATCTGTGATGAAATGGTGCGTGGGATGGTTTCAGGCGTCGGCGATGTACTTGTTTTGAAGTTCCCACACATGCCGCCAGGTCTTGGCACGCGTCAGATCCGACCCCGAACGCCGTTCTTCTAACAGTCAGTGCTGCTGCTCATGCGTCTCCTCCTCCTCCTCCTCCTCCTCCTCCTTTCCGCGTCCTCCTCCTCCTCCTCCTCCTCCTCTTCATCATCTGTCCCTCTTGCTTCCTCCCTCCCTTCTCCTCTTCCTCTCCCCGTCCATATTCTTCCCCCTCGTCTTCTTGCTTCTCTTCGCTGACGTTTTCCGCCGACCAGGCGCACCGAGGCCGTGGTACCGCCTCCTCCTCCTCCTCCTCCGCCTCCTCCTCCTCCCCCCCCTCCTCCTCCCTCCTCCTCCTCTTCTTCCTCCTCCTCCTCCTCCCCCTTCTCCTCTTCCTCCTCTCCTCCTCCTCCTCCTCCTCCTCCTCCTCCTCCTCCTCCTCTCCTCCTCCTCCTCCTCCCTCCTCCCCCTCCTCCTCCCGCCTCCTCCTCCTCCCTCCTCCTCCTCCTCCTCCTCCTCCTCCTCCTCCCCGTCCTCCTCCTCCCCCTCCTCCTCCTCGTCCTCCCTCCTCCTCCTCCTCATCCTCCTCCCCCCTCCTCCTCCCTCCTCCCTCCTCCTCCTCCCTCCTCCTCCTCCTCCTTCTCCTCCTCATCCTCCTCCTCCTCCTCCTCCGCCTCCTCCTCCGCCACCTCCTCCTCCTCCTGCTCCTCCTCCGCTCCTCCTCCTCCTCCCCTCCTCCTCCTCCTCCTCCTCCTCTCCTCCTCCCCCTCCTCCTCCTCCTCCCACGCCTCCTCCTCCTCCTCCTCCCGCTCCTCCTCCGCCTCCTCCTCCCTCCTCCTCCCTCCTCCTCCTCCCCTCCTCCTCCTCCTCCCTCCTCCTCCTCCTCCTCCTCCTCCTGCTACTCCTCCTCCTCCTCCTCCCCCATCCCCCTTCCCCTTCCCCTCCCCCTCCTTCCTCCCCGTGGCCCCTCCGCCTCCCCCCCATCCAGCGGAAGGCCCTGCTGGGCCAGCAGTCGCTGCAGTGGAGCCTGGAGGAGAAGGAGGGCGCCTACCGGGGCCCCGTCTTCGACGCCTGCGCGGGCCGCGATGCGCCCGCCCGCCGCCGCGAGGCGCAGGGTCCAGGCGGCCAGGCCACAACGCCACGAGGGGCGGGAAACACTGAAGCGACGCCGAGGTGATCGTTATTTCGATGCACTGCCGATCGGCGCGGGCCCTCCTTCGCCCCCTCCTCCTCCGCCTCCGCCTCCTCCTTCTCCTCCCTCCTCCTCCGCCTCCTCCTCCTCCTCCGCCTCCTCCTCCGCCACCTCCTCCTCCTCCTCCTCCGCTTCCTCCTCCTCCTCCTCCTCCTCCTCCTCCTCCTCCTCCTCCTCCGCCCCCTCCTCCTCCTCCTCCTTCTCATCCTCCTCCTCCTCCTCCGCCTCAGCCTTCTCCTCCTTAGTCCCCCCCTCTCCCTGGAGTAGATCTTGGGCGTTTTTGGCGCCCTCCTTCGAGCAGGTGGAGTGCTGGACGCACTGCTGCAATCAGTCGCACTAAGCGGAGGCCTGGAGCCAGACCCCCACCTTCCCCCCCTTCCGCCCAATGTCGAAACGCCGAGTAAGAACACGCTCGCAAGATATTCGGCCACGCGCAGAGGGAGTAGGGGGAGGGGGGAAGCGTGTTAGAAACACTCCTGGGGCTTAGAGATGTAGCGTCGGCATCTTCTGACAGGCAGCCTCCTAAAAGGCCTGCCACCCTCCCCCTATCCCCTTGTGCGCGCCGTTGTAGTGCGGTCGTCTTCGCTAACGTTGGAGCGTAAATTGCCCGCATAAGGGCGCGCGTGAGCGCCCTGGTCTCCAGTGCAGCGTTCCCGCGTTGGTCGATATGCCATTTCGCGTAAGACCTCCTTTTCCTCGCTCAATATTTGACGACGATTGATCTTCCTCAAATCGTTGGATACGCGCGGTAGGTTGGCGTCGTGTCGACGCTGCGGCGACCCCGGCGCGCGCGTTCAAAGTGGACAGCCCCCAGTGGCCAGTGCACAAGTTTGTGGAAACACACACTGTGGACAAATTGTTGAAATAATATACTGAATCGGCAAATTTGACGCGATCTGGTGGTCGAACGGCAGCCGATCGTCCAAGGTCGAACGATCCACGCGGCACAAGGCACCAACGCCGCGGTCGTCACGACAGGAGTTTGCCGTATTCTGGAATACGCGTCCATGTATGGCCCTGAAGCCGATGATGGTTCTTGCTGTGGTATGTGTCCGAGCTTGAACCAATCATGCGCGACCTCGGTGGTCCCGGAGCACGGAGCTGCCCGGGCAGCGAGGGCCCGAGAGCGCGGGGACGAGGGAGGGCGAACCGAGACGTGAGGCATGAGGCGGCGAGGTACGAAACCAGAAATGGAGGTCGGGACAAGTGCGGGGGCTGGGGGGGGAGCAGAAGGAGGAGGAGGAGGAGGCGGAGGAGGAGGAGGCGGAGGAGGAGGAGGAGGGGGAGGTGGAGGAGGAGGAGGAGGGAGGAGGAGGGGGGGGAGGAGGATGAGGAGGAGGAGGAGGAGGAGGAGGAGGCGGAGGAGGAGGAGGAGGCGGAGGAGGAGAAGGAGAAGGAGGAGGAGCAGGAGGAGGAGGAGACGGAGGAGGAGGAGAATGAAGAGGAAGAGTAGGAGGAGCGGGCGCGTCAGCGGGAGAAGCCCACGAGGCGTCCGGGCGTCGAGAGCCTGAGAGGCTGGAGGGAGCGGAGCGCGAGCAGGAGGGGCGGAAGGCCGACTGCACCTTCCCTGAGGTCGGCCGTGCCGAGCGCGGGAAGCCGCGCGCCCGAGCCCGACTGATCCTGGTTGGAATCAGCATGATGTCCGCTGGAAGCGACGCGCGCTCGCGCCGCACGCGGCACAGAGGTGGCCGCCCTTGGCCGCGGCGTCAGTCCGATGCTGCTCGCTCGCCCGGCTTGCGGCGGCAACCGCCGCGGGGCGGGGCGGGCCGCGGGGGGCCGCGGAGGCCGCCGCGGCTCTGGCCGGGGGGGGCGGCCGCCCGCTCTGGAGCCCCGCGGCGGGTGTCCGCGCGCATGGCGCGGCGGGGCGGGCGCCGTGCGCGCGCCGAACGGCGGAGGCTGCCGGCCGAGGCGGAGGGGGCGCAGGGCGCAGGGCTTTGGCGCGGCCGTCGCGCAGGGCGCAGGGGCGCAGCCTCGTCGCGGCCTCGGCGCAGAGCGCAGGGCCTCGGCGCGGCCGTTGCGCAGGGCGCAGGGCGCAGCCTCGACGCGGCCTCGGCGCAGGGCGCAGGGCCTCGTCGCGTCGGCGCAGGGCGCAGGGCGCAGGCCGCGCAGGGCCTCGACGCAGCCTCGGCGCAGGGCGCAGGGCCTGGACCGAGGGGGTGCAGGGCGCAGGGCCGACGTGGTTGCTATCCGCAGGTGAGGTACTCGCAGGTACCTGCGATGACATCGCCAGTTCCAGCGCCGGCGCCGCACCCCTTGACGCCACACCAGTGTCCCCCCTCCAGAGCAGGAGGAGGTGGAGGGCGGAGGGCGAAGATGCTCGCGTCGACAGATCGGCCTCCCGCTGAGGGGCCAGGCCCCGGAAGCAGCTCTGCGCGTGACCTTTGATGCCATGGGCGTTGGTGGAGGGCGACGGGGGGGAGGTGAGAAGGAGAAGGCCTTCTCAAAGGGCGGCGGGGCTTCTCAGATAATTACCCTCTAGCCGTCTGAGAGATTTCTGGTTTCTTTCGGGAAGGCGCAGAACGTTTTTCCGAAGGCTGGGGGGCTTCCGAGCCTTCTTAAAAGGCCCACATCTTCTCAGTTCCCCTCTGGGCTCGCCGCCGAGTTGGGGCATTGACCGAGGCATCAACAACGTAGACAAAACAGTACTCGGCGGTCCGCGCAAATCTCTTTGGGGGGCTCCGCGCTGGCCCCCTTGACGGCGCCTCCAGCGCTGTCCCGTGACGCACTTCGCAGCGACGACCCGGGAATTCCGCGCGGACCTCTGACCTTTTCTGTTGTTCCAGTCTCCCGTGTTCTGTGCAGAGCGCGGATCAAATTCTAAATGCGTGTCCATTCGCATTTGCCTACGCACAGTTGTGAAGTAGGGAAATGCGCATTTGTAGATACATATATATATGTGTGTAAATATACACATATATATACATATATATATATATATACCAACAAACCGAATCATGTATAACTCTGTATGTAACAGTTGAGGAAAGGTTAGGCGGTCGCGGCAGCGGCTGGGGTGCGGCAGGGGTGCCCGCAAGGCCGTCGGCACCGGCCCCTGCCCTTGCGCGGCCGCGCCGCCGCCGCAGCAGGGCGCAGGCGCGGCGGGCAGCGCCAGCAGAGGGACGCCCCTGCGCTGCTGCTGGTACTGCTGCGGCTGCTGCGACGACGGCGACGACGGCGAGGACGAGGACGAGATAGGCTTTTCTGCCATTCGTTGGTTCTTGGCGGTCTTCAGCTTCGGGATGCTATCCAGTGGCTGTGCCTCGCCGAGAGCACTCGGGGGGGTGCCCAGATCGTCCCGGACGGCCGCGTGTCAGCGAAGCTGTGGCCCCAAAGCCAGGGAGCCCTCGTCCTCGTTTCTCCCCCCCCGTTCCCCTCGTGCTCCGCCCCCGTCCCCTGCTGCTGCTGCTGCTGCTGCTGCTGCTGCTGCTGCTGCTGCTGCTGCCGTTTGCCCTCCTTTGATGGGCCTGTGTTCCACCACCACCACCACCACCACCACCACCACCACCACCACCACCACCACCACCATAAGTTGGAGGGGGAGGGGTCCTCCTCCTCCTCGTCCTCGTCCCCCTCCTCCTCCACCTCCTCCTACTCCTTCTCCGCTTCGTCCTCCTCCTCCTCCTCGTCCTCTGACTTATGGTGGTGGTGGTGGTGGTGGAAAACAGGCCCATCATCCTTGTCGCTCCTCACCCCCCACCCCCCTCTCCTCGCCCCCGTATTCCCACTCCCATCCTCTGATCCTTCCCCTCGCGCCGCGCCTCCTGCTGCCGCCCATCTTTCTCTTCCTCCCTGCAGTCGGCGGCGCGCCTGTGGGGGACATGCGAGGGGCCAGACCTTCTCACTTAGAAGGCGGCGGGGCTTATCAGAAGCCCGATGGGCGTCCGAGAAGCCCTCTGTGGCTTCGGAGCCTTCTGAGCCTTTTGACATGGCCCTCCAGTCTGCCTTCTCCCAGGCCCCTGGGCGTGCCGCCGAGGCAGGCCGCAAGGCGGTTTCTTGCGAGCCATAATGCGCTCCGTGAGGAGCACTGAAAGCTCCAAGATCCAGCCACTTGGCCCTCAAGTCAAGGCCATTTGGCGTGAGCCCATTGAGCTCTCTCAAGGCTCTCTCAAGGCCATTAGGCGTGAGCCCAGTCACGATCCACGGCGTCGGATTGCCCCCCCAGCGCGGGGTCCAGAGTTCCGCCGCTCCCTGCCTCCCTACTCGTCCTCCACGGTTTCTCTGCTGCCTGGCCGAGTTAGAGTAGTTGCACCGCCTGGCCGAGTTAGGTTGGATGCACCTGCTGTCGGAGCCTGGGATGATCGGCAGAAGTTTGCACTCAGGCGTTTTGTTACGATGTATTCCGTGAGTTCCTCCTCAGTCTTTCTTTGACAAGGCCAGAGCATGGCATCTTTTTCTATTAGGAGTGCTCCAGCCCAGCTTTGCGCTTGCGGGCGCAGGTGTTTCCTCTTATCCTCTCAGGGGGCCTTTCTTCATGGCCCAAGAAGGGCACCTTCATTCCCCCCCCCCATGCCCTTCCCAATTTCTCGCACCCCACCCGAGATGCGACTTATCGATCCGATTCTGGGCTATCTCCTGCCTCCCCGGCGCGCGAGTCGTGCCAGGAGCCTTCGCCGGAGAGGCCTTCGCCAGGGAGGGGAGGCTCGAAGCGCGGATATCCAAGAAGTCCAGGCTCGCTCCTGCCCCACCTTGCGGCGGCCGGCCGGGGGGGAAGCGAGGACGGGTGGGCCTTCTCGGCAGGCTCGGAAGCCCCCCGGCCTCCTGAGTGTTCTAAGCCTTCCCCGGAGACCCCAAAACATTTTCTCTCAGAAGGCCAGGGCGCTTCTGAGAAGCCCCGCCGCCTTCCGGAACGGCCTTCTCCTCCTCACCTCCCCCCTCGCGCACCGCCGAGGGGCCCGCGCTGCTCCTCCGCCTGGACGTTTCTGTTGTGGGTCCGCGGTGGGGCCCCCCTTCTCATCGGGCTCGCCGAAACCCGCTTGCCGCAGAGTGCCTACTGGCAGACGCCCGAAACCCACACACACACACACGCAAACATTCACATTCACATTCAAACACACACACACACACTCACACACACACAAACACACACACACACATTCACACACACATTCACACACACACATGCACACACACACATTCACACACACACACATTCACACACATTCGCACACACACACGCACCACACACACACACACGCACGAACGCACACACGCACGCACGCACGCACACACGCACACACACATTCACACACACACGCACCACACACACACACACACACACACACACACACACGCACGCACACACGCACGCACACACGCACACACTCACACGCACACGCACACGCACACGCACACGCACCACACACACGCACACACACACACACACGCACGCGCATACGCGCACGCGCGCACACACACACACACACACATACACGCACGCACGCACGCATGCAAGCACGCACGCACGCACGCACGCCCACGCGCACGCGCACGCGCACGCGCACGCGCACGCGCACGCGCACGCGCACGCGCACGCGCACACGCACACGCACACGCACACGCACACGCACACACACGTCTTCCTTCACGCAGTGGATTGTAGATCCCCCGCGGCGGGTCCAGGCCATTTGCGAGTAGTTGTTTGCTCTGCGACTCGTGGAACGTGCTTGACGCTGCCCCGGCCCAGGGCTCATTTCGATCCCTCCGATCCGATTCGATTCGATTTCGAAAGATTCCGATCCCGACTCTATTCGACATCGGATTCCGATTTGGAATCCGATTTCTCATGGGTGACATACCGGCCCGCCGATTTCCGCAGACTCGACTTCTCCCGACCTGGCCTCCGAGCGCCGCCGATCCGACTCATGTCGATCGCCGGTCCGACCTGTCGATTCGCGACTGGGCTCTCCTGCTGGCTGGCGCCCTCCCACTCTCTCGGCGGCGAGCGAGGGGGGGAAGCGAGGAGGAGAAGGCCTCCTCTCAGGAGGCGGCGGGGCTGTTCAGAGGCCCTCGTCGCGCCGTCGGAGCAGTTTTTTGTGTGCCTCCGCGCCGATCCGACTCGTCGATCCGACCCTGGGCTCCCCTCCCCCCCCGACTCAGGAGCGCGGCCAGGTGGGCCACCAGCAACAGCTGCTACGGCGCCGGCGCCCCCGCGCGGTGAGCCCCGAGCCGTGCCGCGGGCGTCCGCGCGGCGGGCCGACGGCTCTCTTCGCGCCTCTCGACTTCCTCGCTCCTCCTCGCTCCTCCTCGCTCCTCCTCCTCCTCCTCCTCCTCCTCCTCCTCCTCCTCCTCCTCGTCCTCCTCCTCCTCGTCCTCCTCCTCCTCGTCCTCCCCTCCTTCCTCCCCCCCTCCCCCTCCTCCTCGCCAGTCGCGGGGATGGCGCCCCCACTGGGTCTCTGGGGGCCGCCCAGAGGGGGACCGTCCACAGTCCAGGGCGCCCTGGGCCAGCCTCGTCTTGAGGCAGGCCCTGGGATGCGACGCGGGCCGAAGGCTGCCCGCGCCCTCTATGGGGGGGAGCAGGAGGAGGGGAGCAGCAGGGGCGGCCGGGAGGGGAAGGGGAAGGGGCCGGAGGGCGGGGGCCGTCGCGGTGGGCGGGCGGGCAGCCAAGGTGGCCGCGGAAGCCGTGGTCGTGGTGGTCGAGCCGGTAGTGGTCGAGCTGCTCCCCCTCATCCTCCCCCTCCCCTTTCCCCTCCCCCTCCCCCTCCCCCATCCCCCTCCTCCTCCTCCTCCTCCTCCTCCTCTTCCTCCTCCTCCTCCTCCTACTCCTCCTCCTCCCGCACCAGGCACGTTGTAGGCCTGGGCGGTTCGGGCATGTTTCTTCTCCAAGGGAGGCAAAAGCCATCGGTGCACAAGCAATTGGCTTGATGAGGTTCTTTCGACGAGCGCAGGCTGACACGCAAACAGGACAGGCGGTCGCGACCAGTTCTTCCTGCACGCGGGCGGGCTGCGGGCGCTGAAGAGGTGCCATCGTTGCATGCTGTCGCGTTCTGCAAGAACGCTCCTCCCGAATCTCCGCATGCGCCACATCAAGGCCCACAGAAAGGAGCGGCGCCGATCCCAGTCGGATATGCGCATTCTATCAGGAATGGAACCGTGCATTTCTGGCCATCAGCCGTCGACGATCGGCGTCCCCTTCGTCAAAGCGATGATCTCGGTGCGTCGGTTCGGACGCACGACGCGGACGCGGTCGACGACGTCCCACAGTTCGGCGCTGTGGGAAACGATGCCGTGAGACAACTTCCAGTGTTTGTTTAATCAGTGGCGAGGCGCTCTGCGTTAAAACGGCAAGGGCCTTTCCCCTCCCGGACTGTAAGCAACGCGACTCATCGGGGCGGCGCGACAGATTGTTACGCCCCAGCGCCATCAGTTAGAAGGGTGATGCTGCCAGGCACGAGAATCCACGAGGGGACATCATCACATTCTCGGCCGCTGAGCGACACGCCGCTCCCTCCAGCAACGCAAGCGCGGTCGGGCAGCTCGACAAATCGGCGCTGTCCACGAACGCGGCAGCGAGCACAGAGAGCGGTGGCGCAAGAGGCGGTATCGACCGACCGGGTGGCGGCTGCAGGTCGCGCCCGCGCAGTCATGCGGGCATGGGCGCCCCATCGGCCACTTAAACTCATCTTGCTCAGCCTTGGCGACGCGAGCACAGATGCCGCTCGCGACCCCTGCGATGCGTTGAGCTGGTGAGCTCGACGTCCCCGCCTGCGCCGTCAGCTCGTCGGAGGACTCGTATCCTGAGGCGTGATGGGATTTGGCGCGTGCGATTGCCAGGAGGGTGCGCGTGCTGTTCACGCTGCCTGCGGGGCTGGGCCTGGAAGATGTTGTTCGTTTTCGCGCTGCTGTTGGATAGCCGTCGCGCCGTCTTCGCTGCGCTGGTTTTTGGCCGAACCGATGCGCTTGTCTGCGTCTGTGCCGATGTTTCCCCCCTGTTTTGTTCCCGTCCCCTGCGCCTTCCTTCCGGCGCAGGAGCTCCACATCTGAGGCCTCCTCCCTGCCCTCCTCCTCTGCAGCCGCCCTCGTCTTCTCCGTCCGTCCCAGCGTGCCCCTGTCCCAGCGAGGCCCACAGGCTGTGGGAACGCGTTGCCGTCCGCTCCCACCGCCGACGAGCATCGTTCTGCCCCCGGCCGCTTCGCGCCTCCACGGGCCACCGTCAGGGCCCCGCCGTGCCGCCAGAGACCGGCCAGGGGCGATGGAAGAACGGACGGGGTCGAGAGGGTCGAGGATCGAGGATCGAGACGCGGGCCGCCAGAGACCCGGCCCGGGGCGGAAAGAAAGGGAAGGGGTCGAGAGGTTCGAGGCTCGAGGCTCGCGGCTCGAGGGTCGAGAAAAAGGCGAGGGATCGAGAGGATCGAGGCTCGAGGCTCGAGGGTCGGGGCTCAAGGTGTCGAGGCCCCCAGGGAAGGGGGGTCGAGGACCCCAGGGAAGGGGTACAGACCTCTTGGCCCCAGGGAAGGGGTAGAGACCTCATTGGCAGAAGTCCCCCCCCCCCTTGCCGGATCGAGGCTCCCTCCCCATCATCTTGCCTTGTGATGTTCCAGCCGACCTGAGCCCTCCGAGCATCCAGAGGGTACCGAGCCTGCTGGAGGGCTTTCGCGCGTCGAGCGCCGGGAGGCGGTCGATGCTCGGAATGCTCGGCCGACACTTCGCCACCGCGTCGGGCAGGCACTGTTCTGGTACTTCTCCTGGGTGCCCGACATGATTTCTGGGATGTCGCCCTGAATTGCAGTCGGGGCGCTGAAGAAGGAACCCTTTGCGTTTGGGAGGGGCTCCATGTTCCTTGGTTGTTTGAATGTTTGCCTCAGGTTTACCCTTAGGTTTCCCATGGGAAATCGACGTGCAACTGAACAGGGGCCTCGTTCCCATATGGGGTTCCTGAGGTCATCGTCCCGACTGCACGATGGGAGCAGCAGCACTCTCGCCCCGTCTTCCGCTCCCTGCATCCCACCTCTCCCTGCCGCCATCCCCCCGCCCTCCCTCCCCGTCCCCGTCCGTCGGGGCCTCGTCCTCCTCAGCCCAGGCCCTCGACAACGGCGAGACGGTCATCCCAAACTGGAAAGAATATCTGACCTAAAACAGGAAAGAAAAAACACGTCGACCTTGAAACAAAAAACAACAACAACAAAAACGCCCCCAGCGTTTTAAAGAACATCTGGGACCCCAGGCCCCCCCGCGCGGTGTGGAAAAATCACGGCCAGAGGCTTTTCGCCATCATCCGCCTCCTGGAGCCCTTAATCGGGCCCCGGGCGCGTCAGGAGACGATTGGGGATGAAGAAACGGGTCCCTGGGAAGGGGTCGAGACCTCTGGGGGTTCGAGGTTCAGATGGGGATTGTTCTACCCAAACAGAAGCAATTGGGGATGAGAAGCCGGTCCCGAGGATGGGAAGAGCCGGTCCTGGGGAAGGGCTCGAAACCTCTGGGGGGTCGAGGTTCGGACGGGGATGTGGTTTTCACAAGCAACAAGAAACAGCAACGGCTGGGGATGAGAGGCCGGTCGCGAGGATGAGCAGAGCCAGTCCTGGGTCTGGGGTCGAGACCTTTGGGGGGTTCCACGGCACGAAGGACACGCAGGCGTCGAGGGTCTGGGCCTCCCGGTCGCCGTCGTCCTCCCGCGCGCCTCCTCGTGTCTCCGCGCCCCCTCCCGGCGTCGCGTTGCGTTGCCCGGAGCGGCTGCGAGAGGAGGGGAGAGCTGCGCGTGGCGTTGGCGGGCAGGGCCTCCTCCTCCTCCTCCTCCTCCTCCTCCTCCTCCTCCTCCTCCTGCAGGGGCAGGGGGTGCGGGAGGGAGGAGGGGGCGAGAGGAGCAGCGAGAGGGGGCACGAGGAGGGAGGGGGGTTAGCGACGCGAGGAGGGAGGAGCGGGGGGGAGAGCACGCGGCGGCGGTGCCCTCCCGCCCTATCAGTTCGTCAACTGTCAATATGTTCCCCCCTCCCCTCCCCTCCCCCCCCTCCCCTCCTCTCTCCCCTCCCCTCCCTCCTCAATTCCTCCCCTCCTCCCTCCTCCCCTGCCCTACTCACTCCTCCCCTCCTCCCTCCTCCCCTCCTCCCACCTCCCCTCCCCTTATTAGCTCTCCCCTCCCCTCCCTCCTCCCCTCCCCCGCTCCCTCCCCCGCTGCTGCCTCGGCGGCTCGTGTCGTTGCTCCGCTTCGCGATCGGTCCTATCCTATCGTATCTTATCCTTGCCTCTCCTTTCCTACTCTACCCAATCCTATCCAATCCTATCCCATCCGATCCTATCATGTCCTATCCTGTCCTACCCAGTCCTATGCTATCCTATCCGATCCTATCCTATCCTATCCCTCCTCCCTTCTCTCGTCCACCCGCCCCGCTTCTCCCTCCCGCGCCCCTCATTTGTGCCGTCCCCTTGGGGCATCGCCCCCCCGCTCCCCCCCCCCGCTGTGCCGTCCCATCTCCCGCCGTGGTCGGGCCCCCCAGGGAGAAGGGAATTTTGGTCTTGGGCCCCCGAGCCCGCTTGGGCGGGCCAGCCGTGGCTCTCCCCGTGATTCTCAGAGGAGGGAGCGTTTCCTCCTGTCTGGGCCTCCTGGGAGGCTCTCGTCGCCACGGTCGGGCCCCCAGGGAAGGGAATTGGTCTCGGGCCCCGGAGCCCGCTTGGGCGGGCCAGCCGTGGCTCTCCCCGTGATTTTCAGAGGAGGAAGCGTTTCCGCCTGTCTGGGCCTCCTGGGAGGCTCTCGTCGCCACCGCTGGGTTCGCCTCGAAGTCCTGGTCAGAACGCACCCCAGGAGACGTCCAGGGGTCAGCGGCATCGGAACCTTTTTGTCTCCCCGGAGTTCTGTTCCAGCATCGTGCTGTTGCTGCTCCGTCTCTCCTCATCCTAACCTCCTCTGCTTCTCCCTTCTATCTCGCTCCCTTCCCCCCATTTCTTGTACGTTGGCCATGCACAAGCATCGTGGCTGTTGCTTTGTACAAGCATCGTGGCTGTTGCGTGATTCCTTCCTCCTCCTCCTCCTCCTTCTCCTCCTCCACCACCACCTCCTCCTCCTCTCGAAGGAGAAACATGCCATAAACATCAAATGTTGGCGCTCTGCGCGGATTTCGTAGATCTGCGCTGGGCCCCCCTGGCGGCTCGCTCTTCCTCCTCCTCCTCCTCCTCCTCCCCCTCCTCCTCCTCCTCCTCCTCCTCCCCATCCTCCTCCCTCCCCTCCTCCTCTTGCTCCTCCTCCTCCTCCTCCTTCTCCTCCTGCTCCTCCTCCTCCTCCTCCTCCTCCTCCCTTCCTCCTCCTCCTCCTCCTCCTCCTCCTCCTCCTCCTCCTCCTCCTCGTTCTCCTCCTCAGCAGGTGTCTCTGGAGTCCTGGAGGTCCCCCGCGGCCTCCAGTGGTTCCAGGAAGCCTCCAGCGGTGCCTGGAGGTGGAAGCCCTCCCCCCTCCCCCTTCACCCCTCTCTCGCACGCTCGCCCCCCCCCCCCCCCCGGAGCTGGAGCCCCTCCCTCCCCACCCCCTCGATCCCAGACCCCCGAAAATCACTGACGAAAGTCACGATGGGAGGCTTTTCGCAATTTTTGGCCTCTCCCTCCTTACTCGCTCGATCCCAGACCCCCTCGAGCACTGAACACATCACGACGGGAGGCTTTTCTCCATTTTCGGCCCGTGGGGGCCCTGCCAGGCCCTCGGGGCCGTCAAAAAAAAGACTCGGGATGAAAAACTGGTCCCGGGGAACAGGTCGAGACCTTCGGGAGCCCACGCCATGAACGCCATGAGCAATTCATTGCGTCGGGGGTCTGGGATCTTCGACCCCTCGATCCGCATTGCTTCGAGCCTCCACCCTCCGCCCTGTCTCCCTCCCGTTGCGCGGACCTGGACCGGATGACCGTGGCGCTCTATGGCCATGCAACAGAAAGGTTAAAAAGAGGCAGAGTCATGCCAGGGGGCGTGCAAATCCCCCTGGCGGGCGCAGCGGGCGCAGACAGACGACAAGTGCGAACGAAACGGGGAGCAAACAAAAAGAAGATGCGCCCGCCAGGTGATGGAACAGCAAGCCTGACAGACCTTGGAAATCAAACCCTCCCAATCCACCCCAATAGTCAATCTGCCTCCCTCCTTTTCTCCCTCCTCATCTTCCCCGCCCTCGCGCGTGCGAGAAGCGCGGTGCGTGCACGTCGTCTCCAGGCCTCCTCACAGAAAATCATGCGGTCACCGCCCCCCCCCCGCTCCTCGCCCGGGCCTTGTCGCGCATGCCCAAGCCCGAGCCAATCAGGGCGGTTCCCCCCCGCGCGCGCCCCAGCGCCGGAGCGTCACTCCGGCAGGGATGAGCAAGCTCAACATCTCGGGTGCTGACGCGGACGCCTTTGGCCCAGAGGTGTCCCAAGCTCCTCCTCCTCCTCCTCCTCCTCCTCCTCCTCCTCCTCCTCCTCCTCCTCCTCCTCCTCCTCCTCCTCCCCCTCCTCCTCCTCCTCCTCCTCCTCCTCCTCCCTCCTCCTCCTCCTCCTCCTCCTCCTCCTCCTCCTCCTCCTCCTCCTCCTCCTCCTCCTCCTCCTCCTCCTCCTCCTCCTCCTCCTCCCCCTCTTCCTCTCGAAGGAGAAGAACGCCACAACCATAAACTTTGAGCGCTCTGCGCGGATTTCTTAGATCCGCGCTGGGCCCCCCTGGCGGCGCCAGAGGGCCAAAAGTTTATGTGAATGCCGTGTTTTCTTCATCTAGTCCCAAGCTCCGCCTCTTCCTCGTCCTCCTCCTCCTCTTCCTCCTCCTCCTCCTCCTCCTCCTCCTCCTCCTGGGTTCCTCCTACATCGCCCATGTCGCCATCCCCCCCCCCGTCGCTCGGTCCTTCTCCCTCCTCCGCCGCCCTCCCCCTCCTGCGCCTCATCCACCCTCCTCCCTCCCTGGCCCCCCCCCCCCACCGCCTCCGCCGCGCCAGCCTCAGGCTGCTTCATGGGGAGAGGCACCCTTCAGAGCCTCGCCCGAAGCCAGAGCCCGGGGACCGCCAGGGCCCAGCAAGACAGGGTGGCACCTCTGGCCACGGGCGCCTCCGTCAGCGCCCGGACGTCGACAACCTCAAGAAGGGCATCGGCGAGATCCTCGACGGCGCGAAGGCCGCGGGGAGGGGCCCGCGCGCCCACAGCTGCAGCCGCGCGCGCTCGCCCGTCCTGCTCCCGGGCCCCCTGCCTTTCTGCCTCGTCTGGCCCTCTCGCCTGCCCTGCACGGTGCTGCATTGGCTCGTCTGGCCCTGCGTTTCGCCTGAAGTCGGGCGTGTCCCTCCACAGGAGGAACATTCAAGGATAGTTGAATAACTTACGGGGACGGTGTTTTAATTGATATCGACAAAGAGCGATTTTGTGAATGGCAGTTCTTTATTTGTCCTCCAGCGCCCGCCTGTAGGAGGACATGCCCGACCGAATTTTCGCCCTGTGCGCACGCGTCCAGCTCTCGTGGCTGCCGCCTCTCTGGTGTGTTCTCGCTCTCCAACCTGCTGCGGCTTCTGCTGCTGCGTACTTCCCGCTCCAACGCGCCAAGAAGGGCAAGCATCGGGCTGGTCTGGGGCGAGGACAAGTCCGTTCCAGAGCGTTCTGAACTGCTCTCGGAGCGTTCCGGAAGATTCTGAGAAGGTCGCGGCACCCGAGACATCCTCCATAGTCGCCGGATCTCAGAGATTCTCGATTGACCTTAAGAGCCGCGTCCTGGTTTCGTCTTGCTCCCGAAAGGTCTCGGCCCATGGTGTGACTATCACCAGCGCAGGGTTATTTCTATGTTCTTTTGTCTGGGGTCTGGCTGGGCCGAAGAGGGGGGCGGGCGGCTGAAGGGGGGGGGGGTCGCTGATGGGGCACAACAGGTGGGATGGAGGAGGGAGGGAGGGAGGGAGGGAGGAGGGCGGAAGGGGGAGGAGGGGAAGGGGGCGGGGGGCGGAGGGAGAAGGAGAGAGAGGAGGGCCTGGTGGGAGGGGCGGATGGGGGAGGCGGAGGAGGGCAGGGAGACAGCGGGCAGATGGAGGCGGGGGAGAGCGGAGGGCTGTCCGTGCATCCACCCGCCCGGGGAGGCGAAGCCCCGCAAGTTCCTTGAGACGGTGGAGCTGCAGATCGGCCTCAAGGAGTCCCCCAAGAATTCTCGTCGGTCGGCATAATCAGGCGATCGCGCACATGGATCAAGGGGGCGTGGATTGGCGACGGGTCCCGCGTCTGCGGGAAACACGGAGTTCCGCCGACGATCGAGGCGGCACCTCCCCCGATCCATATATTTGGCGACCGTGCGCCAAATCCATGGATCGCTAATCCATGTTTGCGCGCCCCCCACATAAGCTCGATGAGTCGGAGATCCTTACGGTTCTTGCGTCGCAAGTGTTTCACAACGGGCAGTTCTGCCCAGTTTTGGGCCCTTGGGCCCTCATGCATCGACCGGGCTCGAAAAGGTTTTGGGGCTCTGGTCGTGATCGTTCGCGATGCTGCATTGATCCCAATTTCGGATCTCAGGGAGGGAGGGGGGGGCGGATCAGGAAGACTGCGCGATGGGGCGTATCGTCATATCTTCTGTGTCGTTCCGTGTGCAAGCCGGAACGCGAGGGCAGCAGTGCTCGGGAGATGCGCCCGACCTTCTGTGGCAGCCTTGCTGAACGGCCGAATGCATCGGGGAGTCGGAGGTTGATCGGCGGCGAGCGCGGGGGGGAAATGAGGAGGAGGATGCCTTCTCAGAAGGCGGCGGGACTTCTCAGAAGCCCTCGCGCCTTATGAGAAGTGTTCTGTGCCTCCCGGGAAGGCTCAGGAAACTTCCCC